GATGGTGTTAGCGAGGGTGATGCCAATCACTTCATCTTCGATTGCAGTACTCACGAACAATATAGGATACCCTTTTATAGTGAATGTATACTACAAGGAATTGGCTGGAAACCCAAAGCCCAAGACATCTTCAACAGAAAAGAAGTCTGGGAAAAACTGGAAGATTTTATTATAAACACTAAAGCATTGTTACCCGACCATCACAGAACTATAAAACTTCAAAACAATGATTCAAACCAACAAACTATTATACACGAAGATTCAGAAGAATCAGACACACAAGGGAACGACAACGAATATGGCAGCGACAGTGACAATTATTAGTGACAACAACCAGTGACAATTATTATAATAACTGTATCTATTTATCATCATTTGTGCTGCTAGCAACTGATATAAGTCTACGTACTTAGTCCCAAGTCAGTATTGTATATGCGGTTTGCATTGCAAGTAGCAACGACTTCGTTCACATGTTCTCATTGTACATATATATTATTCTGTACTTTTCTGTATTTTGTCAATTAGTAAATAAATTGAGCCGATGCGGATGCTTGTGGGTCCCATGGGGACTCCCTGACTGCTCTCTTATTCACACTTTCCTATCTCCCTTTGTTTCTCCTTCCACCTTGTTCTTACTTTCCTCATTCCTTCTTTCCTACTTCATAAAAGTGTTAACTTTGTTGCAAAAAAGACACAAACAGCCCTCTAATCCTGTTACTTAATCTTGTATCAGCATATTTTGTTATTAAAATTATGCTATATTTTCCAATTATTTATATAAAGTAAAAAAGAATTTATGCATCTTGAAATTCATCTTTCAGAAGAACTCATAAATAAAAATGTGACAATCATTTAAAGAAATTGAAATAATTTGTTTTATTAATTTCACATATAATACTTGAAAAATGTATTAGTTATCAGAAATAAACTTATTATCAGAAATATTGTGATTTGAAAAATTTATTGTAGATTAATGTATCTTATATTTAACCTTCTGAAATATTTTTGTGAATCTAAATGATACTGAAAAAAACCATGCAACTTGCCAATATGATATAAATGTAATAAATTTTAACAATTTTATTTTAAGTTTTAATGGTATTTTCTTATAATTATTGATACTTAGATATGTTTTTTTGAATATAGTTTACTTAAATTTCAAGAAAAATTATTATGTATTAATAACTAAAAACATATTTAATTTGTAATAAAAAAAATTTTTATTTGCTATGATTATATTTTTTAGTGTAATGATTTCCACTTCTCTTTATATTTCTTTAATATAATATAGCAGCAAAAAGACAGCATATTACATTTTACCAAAAACATTAAATTCTTTGTTACATTATATAGAATTTTAGTTTAATTTTATAATGTATATTACCTACCTTATTTACAACAACATCTTTTAATTTAGTGGTCTGTATTGCCAGAGGTGTTTCTGCTGGAACAGATTCAGGTTTCAGTAAAATTTTTATTCTTTCCAATAATGATACTAATCGACGATGTCTGAAATCATTATTTTATCATTTAATCATTTTATATCAATTTTTGATTATTTAAATCATTAGCATAGTTTAATTTTCAATCAAAAGCCTAAAAAAGTTTTTGACCAATAAATGTGCTATTTCATATAGTTTTCCTTGCATTTTAAGATATAAAAAAATTTTTGCTTATAGTTTATTCATTATAATGCTATAATGCTTATATTTATAATTGTCAGCAATAATATTTTTCACATCTATCAATTTTAATATTAAATATTATATAATAATAATAATTTATTATTACAGTGGAACCTTGGTATACAACCTTAATCCGTTCCTGGTGTTTGGACTTATACCGAATAGGACGTATACCGAACCAAGCTTTCCCATAAGAAGTGATGTAAAAATGATTAATCCGTACTCATGTAAAAAAGATGGCTGGCTTTAAACACCTCACTTTCCTGGCTAGTTCCTGGTTGATTTTTCACGAGATCAGCATGTATCTTTTTAGCTTTCTCGCAAATAATTTCTTCCGATACGCTGTCGCCAGCACACTGTTTTTCAGTTATCCAAAGCAAAAGCAATTTCTCGACATGATCTAATGTCTTCGATCTCTGTTTAGAAATTGATTTAACCCCTTTCGCAACGTTAGCAGATTTAATAATGTCTTTATTTTTCGTGATTGTCGATACTGTCGTTCTCGGAATACAGTATGCAACAGTTAAATCTCGAACACGCGTGCCACCTTCATATTTCTCAACAATCTCTTTTTTCAGTTCCATTGTGATTCTAGTCATTTTTTTATTTTTCTGTTGCCTTTTTGCAATTCATGATTAATAAAAATATTAAAATTTTACTTACAAATTAAAATCAAAAGAAATTTAACAAAGTTATAAACTGCATTGCGAACGTCTAGCCTGGTGTAGTACACTGATAGTGCAACTTGTTCATAGATGGCACGTATAATTGAATTAAGTCATATACCGAACAAAAGTCATATACCAAGCAAAATTTGTTTCGTTTAAACAGGACGTATTCCGAATTGGACGTATTCTAAAGCAGACGTATACCAAGGTTCCACTGTATATCTAATACAATTGTATTATTTTATTACTGTTTACTTATTTTATGATAATGATTGATTATTAATTATTTTGTTTAAATAAAATTATTTTTAAAAATATAACTGCTTGCAATTTCTGTTTTCTGATTTGTTTTTTATAGTTTTTAATAGAAATCTCATGCAATTTGTTTATATATTTAAATATCAGTATTTTTGCAAATTAATTTAATATAGAAAACTTATTTTAATGTAGATATGCAATTATATGACAGTAATAATAATACATATTTTACTTGTATTAAGATAAGATTAGATAAAAAATGAATGCCCAATATTGTACAATTTGAAGCCTGCTTTAATTCAGATTATATAATGCATTTTATTATTATAACTTTTATACAATGTAATTCTGTATTTTTAGTGTGAATAACTTAATATTATATACTCTTATATGAAACAATTAAAATCAACAAATCAGAAAAATAAAACAAATGCACTTATATCCTTAAGAATAATTAATAAATAATCATTGTGATTGTTATATATTATTTTAAAACATTTCAATAAAATTATATAAATGCTTTAAATAAAATTACTTCTCTTTTATCAAATATATTTATTTCAACTATTTTCTGTAGGAATTAACTTTTCAAAAAACAAAAACAAAAAAAAAATTTTAAATGCCCATCAAATATTTCAAGGCAAGCATTTAAAGTGTTATTTGCAAAACTCTCAACAGACTTCTCAATAAAAAGTTTCATAATATTTACTCAAATATTCAATATTACAAAAATATTCAATAAACCAATAATCAACAATTGAAAAAGTAATAAGATTTTCTATGTTTATCATGGATGTAAATTATATATTAATATATACTTATACACACATTTATTGTATACATAACAACTAAACTATTTTATTGATATTTTCCCAGGAAATCTAAAAAAACTTATGATTTTGCCATCAACTGAATCATATATACATTTTTGAGACACTTATTTAAATCACAATAATTCTTATTATTTCTTATAATAATCTTTAATAGAAAAATACATTTTCATTATAATCAATATAAACAAAAAACAATATTCTAATTCATTTATTAATGTAATTAAAAAAATAAAATTTACCTATTATAAATTTGAGATGACTGTATTATACTTAGCAATTTTTCAATATCTTCAACTGAAAGCTGTGAAGAAATTGTTTCTGTCGTTTCTGCCAATAATAATTCAAGTCTACAACAAGCTAGACTATCACAATAACGAGCAGTGGCAAGATGATAGGTAGGTAAAAATTTATTAATAAGTAAATTCAAAAGACTGCCAGACTGAGATGGATGAATGGCTTCAAGGCATCTTAATGTTTTCTTTACAAAATTAGGCTAAAAATAAAATTATTTATATTATTAATATTGTTTAACTTATGTAAAACTTTGATTCTTTTTTGAATATTTTTCAAAATAATTTCATAATGTTCTATAATATTTCAACCATAAATAATAATATTTTCTAATTTATTCAGCATATGTTTCAATTATTTTGTTATTGATTTGTAATGAAAAAAATCAATTTTTTAAAAGTCTAAATTGCTTTTGGTAATGATTTGATTTTTATTGCTTTAGTTTGTAGCTCCAATTGAGCTATCTTCAGTTTCAGCTAAAATATTTTACAAACTTCTTGTTTCAACTAAAATATTTGAAGATGGCTCAATTGGAGCCTAAAATATTTTTTCAGTAAAATAAAGATTTGATTTCCTTAAAGTGGTTGTTATAAAGTTTAAGCAATAATCATGGTGCCAAATTTTTTACAATATGAAGATTAAGTTTTGTTAACAATATTTTCTAAACAATAGCTAAATAATTTATTTTAAACCTTACCAGCAAATTTAACACACTGACTGCCAAATACGAATAATGTTGCTGGATGCCATTTATGAGTTACCTTGTAAAATGCAGTCTTGCCTTTAATGTCAGAAACAAAAATATTAAAAAAATAGATGCAAGTAATAGATAGTGGAAAAAATAAAGAAATAAGTTTTTGCACTAAGGAACAGAGTAAATACTCTGCTCTCTGGTTCCATAACTTATTTTTAACAGAAACAATTTTTCTGTTAATCTTAAATTTATTTTTAAGTTTCTGTTCTTTAAATGTTGTGTTTCTAAATCATATAGTACATTGATAATTCAAGGAAATATAATGCATAATACATGGAACTCAGAAAAATAATGTGTTTATTGATAAAATTTTGTTGAAAATACTTTTCCATACCAAAAGCTGGCTTATATTGCCACACTGGATAATAATAAAAGTTTTCATGGCCTCTTTATCTTTACACTTAACATGGCTTGATAAGGCATTTTTTTAAAAGTGATATAGCCTCTAAATAATGAAATTTATCTTCAGTCCTAATTTTCTTTGCAATGTTTGGCATTTTATCTCAATCAAACAATGATTTTTTTTCCTATTTTCAGACTTTATATAATTAATTATAGTTACTTGAGAGAAACATAGATTATGTTTAAGGCTTCTGTCTTACTTTAGTGAAACATGATTTCAAGTTTCTTATCCTGTCTTTAATTTCAAAATTATTACAAATTTTTATTATTTTTTATTTTAGTAATAAAGTAATTAGTAATTCAAAAATATTAAATAAGTTCCAATTAAGATAATTACTGAATCACTTCTTCTGAGTTATAAAATTCCAGCCAATGTATACATGCAACAACTACAGTGAATAAAAGAAACATTGCAGCTCTCATCAATCATAACAATATGATTCTGCTAGATGACAATACCCAACCACATATGGCTAGAATAACACAAGAAAAAATTCGAGAGCTTTCATGATCACTTCTATTTCACTCTCATTCTGTAGACTCTGACCCATCAGATTTCAATCTGTTTAGATCATTCCAAAATTCATTAAATGAAAAACTGTTCATATTGATGTTGAGGTCCATGAACTTTTTACATCAAAATCCTTCAAAATTCTTTGAGAAAAGAATAAACAAATCACCATCTAAATGGGATTAAGTTGTACTTAACAATATATAATAAATTAAAATTTATAATAATATATTTTAAATATAAAGGGAATTTGTTAGAAGTTCATAAATGTTTGTTAAGGTTATTCAATTTTTTGAAGTAAAATGAAACTTATTTATGAATGTAAATAAGTATGAATATCAACCCAATATATTGGTTACTCAAAAAACACAAGCATAAAGTCTGTTTTATGATAAGTTTATCTTAAGTTACCAAAATGAACTAATTCTGTTGAAAACAGTAAAAACAATCAAATTAGTTTAGTTGATCATTCAAAAACAATTGACTGATTATTTACAACTGTGCCAAATACTTAATTCCCAAGCATAGTTTGTGGGCTACAGTAGGACAGGTCACAAGTTGGCTGAGTTTTAGCATTCCTAAACGAACAAAACAAATTATCTGTGATACATGATAGACAGTTGTTGAGATTAAAGAAAACTTTTATCTGGCTCAGATATAGGTTGAAAGCAATTTTTTTATGCCCTCTTTAGAACAAAGAAAAAACATTCAACTAATATTTAGGTCAATACAGTATATTCTATTTAGAAAATTTACTTAAAAAGTAATTTATGCTATGTAAATCATCATTATCAAATCTGTTTCATAACCTTTCAAATTCAGGGATTAATGCCTTTGAATTTTATCTACATTTAGGATTAATCAAAACTTCCTTGTATATTGATATATACAAGGAATTTTCATTTTTTTAATTTTCATCACCAATATTTTCATTCCAAAAGTACTGAAGATAAATTTGAGATGACTGTATTATACTTAGCAATTTTTCAATATCTTCAACTGAAAGCTGTGAAGAAATTGTTTCTGTCGTTTCTGCCAATAATAATTCAAGTCTACAACAAGCTAGACTATCACAATAACGAGCAGTGGCAAGATGATAGGTAGGTAAAAATTTATTAATAAGTAAATTCAAAAGACTGCCAGACTGAGATGGATGAATGGCTTCAAGGCATCTTAATGTTTTCTTTACAAAATTAGGCTAAAAATAAAATTATTTATATTATTAATATTGTTTAACTTATGTAAAACTTTGATTCTTTTTTGAATATTTTTCAAAATAATTTCATAATGTTCTATAATATTTCAACCATAAATAATAATATTTTCTAATTTATTCAGCATATGTTTCAATTATTTTGTTACTGATTTGTAATGAAAAAAATCAATTTTTTAAAAGTCTAAATTGCTTTTGGTAATGATTTGATTTTTATTGCTTTAGTTTGTAGCTCCAATTGAGCTATCTTCAGTTTCAGCTAAAATATTTTACAAACTTCTTGTTTCAACTAAAATATTTGAAGATGGCTCAATTGGAGCCTAAAATATTTTTTCAGTAAAATAAAGATTTGATTTCCTTAAAGTGGTTGTTATAAAGTTTAAGCAATAATCATGGTGCCAAATTTTTTACAATATGAAGATTAAGTTTTGTTAACAATATTTTCTAAACAATAGCTAAATAATTTATTTTAAACCTTACCAGCAAATTTAACACACTGACTGCCAAATACGAATAATGTTGCTGGATGCCATTTATGAGTTACCTTGTAAAATGCAGTCTTGCCTTTAATGTCAGAAACAAAAATATTAAAAAAATAGATGCAAGTAATAGATAGTGGAAAAAATAAAGAAATAAGTTTTTGCACTAAGGAACAGAGTAAATACTCTGCTCTCTGGTTCCATAACTTATTTTTNTCAACTAATATTTAGGTCAATACAGTATATTCTATTTAGAAAATTTACTTAAAAAGTAATTTATGCTATGTAAATCATCATTATCAAATCTGTTTCATAACCTTTCAAATTCAGGGATTAATGCCTTTGAATTTTATCTACATTTAGGATTAATCAAAACTTCCTTGTATATTGATATATACAAGGAATTTTCATTTTTTTAATTTTCATCACCAATATTTTCATTCCAAAAGTACTGAAGATATATTAATTTTGTTAATGTATTTATATAGAAAAGCCTGCATGGAGAATCATATATATATATAAATATATATATGAATAAAAAAATGTCTCAGTATTTTCAGCATATAACAGAATCTATATATCATTTTGATTTCATTTTACTTAATACATTTTAAAAACAATCAAAATTTATTTTAAGTGATTTAGAATGTGGAGTACTAATGAAATAAGCTCTGTAAATAAGCATTGTAAATACTTGTCATCATTGTCATTGTAATATTTAATTACATAAAATACTTTTCATAGATAATTTCATTTTTTAAATAAAATTTTAATAACTTTTGAAAATTATTTGACAGAATTCTTCATTTTCTATTTATGGACATTATGGGGGCATAATTGTTTCCATATTCATGAAAAGAGTTGTGTGGATTGGAAAAGTTTGGGATTGCTGCTTTACAAGATCTTAATGTTTGACTCTCAATACTTCATAGAACATTATAATGTCTGAATGGTTGATTAAACTTCATTTATCTCTCTCTATTATTTACTCTGCCATAAACAACAAAAATAATATTGTTAATTAGTTAACTTTAATTTATTAATGGTATTAATTAATGTGATGACAATACTTGTTTTAATTTGTACAGTTTCACAAAATTTGACACCACTGAAGACATAAAAGCATAAATTTAGCATTAAGTCTATTTACATATTTTAATGTTTGGTTTTAGCACAGGACTGTAATTACTTTATCTACCAATAATAAATATTCATTTCTTAAAGAATTGTTTGATTTTTAATTATTAATTTGCAATTTAAAATACTTTGGAATATAACTAGCAAAATACATGTAAAAATTAGTTGAAAATTAATAGAAAAAAAGATTAAAGTAACTGAATTCAATTTTCTGAACTATATAATAATTAGGGTTTCTCATTTCCCGGTCTTTTGCTTGTCCCAGGATCCCGGGATAAAAGTGAACTGTTTCCCGGGATCCTGGGATAGAATTAATTATTTTTAAGGTATACAAAATATCTTGAAATCAAATGATATAATTATTTTCCATTTTTTAAAGTAATTTTAAAGTTCTGTAACCTCCAAAATCATATTAATAATGCTGTGTAAGGTCTATAGGCCTATAATAAAAATTACCTTTAAATAACGTAGAAATTTTCACAAATAGAAAAAAATTAATTAAAGTTTGCTGGAAACTGCATACAACAACAACAAAAAAAATTTTTTGAATTGAGTTAAAAATTAAAAAAAATGAACTTCTAATTTAGAAGGTAATTTTCGTTTTTTAAATAAAATATAATACAAAATATTGCAAACTTTTATAAGATTTTAAAAAGCAAAGATGGTCAATACTCCGATAACTCACTCTAATTCTTATTTTAGTAATGAAAAGTCTTGCCACCGAGAATGCCCTTTCCGATTCAATTGATGTGATTGGAATAGTGTTTAATGCATTTAAGAGAAGACAGATATTATGTGTTTTTTCACCTGTAGCCTGGAAGCTTTCGAGTTCGTTTTCGAGATTGTAGTACTTCTTTCGCTCTCTAGTATTCTTGATTTGTCTACCTTGGCTGCTTTAATAGCGGCATCAAGCTTAGAGCTCGATAATTCGGCAATTCATTTGGCTTTAATAATCAGGTTTATGAAGAAAAACTTCATACTTGCAGACTTTGTACTCGTTTGTATCCTTGCCCAATTTGCACAATCTGGCGTCAGGCATTTATTGAAGCTACTGGGCATGGTTAAAACTCAAGACAGCGTAAGCACAATTATTCCAGATATTACAGGTTCCGACAAGTAAAGAATTTTTATAGTCATGCCACAAATAAGCTATATATTGATTATTGACCATTTGTGACATGCTATAACGAGCAAAAATTTAAAAAAACTAATAGGTAGGTTTAAAATTAATAAATACAAATGTATTCTGGCAGTGAATGAGTTAATTATGCTTTCTATTTGCAAAACTCCTCAACCTTAACACAAAATAAGAAAAAAAGTGAATTTTTAAGAAATTTGCGGGATTTCCCGGGATAAGAAAAATTTCCCGGGATATTTCCCGGGTTAAAAAAACAACCGGGATCCCGGGATCCCGTTTCAGAAACCCTAATAATAATATAAAGCCCATCAACAACAACAACACCAGGATTTATTACAAAAATTGAATTTTTGTAACTCTGAATTGTAATTGCTAAGATCTAGTTACCCTATGGGCATGCATGCACGACTCGTATTACACTTTCATTTATTTTTTTACATATACCCTTAACCGATCACTCCGTCCCATCAGAAACTCCCTTTTCATCTGAGGAAGAACTCACAGAAGTTCAAAAACGTTTGTAGTGAACTGTTTCTTTTGATTTTTGTAATATAAAGCCCATAAAAACAATTGAAGTTAGAAGCTTTCAAAGTCTAGAATCATTTTTAAATCACCTATATGTAAACTTTCTTATATTTAAAAAACTCTTGATTTGAAATTACATTTGGCAGTCATTGCATTTATTTTTTTTTACATTCCCCTGAAGTACTTTTACTCTTAGGATACACACTTGTGGGTATGTCCTAGGAGTGTATGTCTCAGGTTGAATAGCACTGTTGGTTCTACAATAGAGCCTAAAACATTTTCTTTTTTTAGACTTGATTTTTCTGTAATGATTTTTCAAAATTCTGTTTTAAAATATTATTTGTTTTTCTGTAAAAAGTCTGTTTCTACTCAAGGATTTCATGTGAGTGCATGAATGAATTAACCAATCATTCCAATTTAACTGTATTTTATTTACTAAATGGTAAATGTTATATACCTTTGTCAGATTTTCACATCGAGCATGAATGGCTTGGATGAAAAGACCACTAGCTGCAGGATTTCTATGAATGGCACTATAAAGAAAGAAAATTTTATTAAGAAAACAAAATATAAGTTTGGTTTGGTTTTTAAGTAAATTTGTTTTGAATTTTTTGAATTACCTCAACTAGACTTTTTGCTTAATTGGTGTTAGTATTTTGATTTGTCTAAATAAGTTGATAGAAAATTTGAAAATTAATTGTGTTAAGCTATTATAAAACAAATGAAGTTTTTTTTAGATGATTAGGGATGGACTGAATAGAGTTTTTTTTATGAATACTGAATAATTATTTAGATGTTACTGTTGTCAAGTACCAAATATTTGGCCAAATATAAGCTCTTTTACTGAATTTGAACTGCACTAAACAAAAAGCTTATAATAGTTTTTTTCAAACTTTTTTGGATTACCACCCTCTTTTAGTGTTTACATTTCATTAGCAACCCCCCAAAAACAGTCAAAAATGGTACATTGAAAACTAAATTTTAATTAAAATGTTATTAAGTTTAAGCATTTGATTTATAAAGAAAAAATAATTTTCCAAAAATATCTTAAAGTACTTGATTAATTAATATTAAAATAATTATACCTCTTGTAAAATCTGTCGCTGAAGTTTTTGATAATCAAAAGATTTGTTGTCATTTAATCCAGTTTTCCACATTTGGGNTTTTCTGTAATGATTTTTCAAAATTCTGTTTTAAAATATTATTTGTTTTTCTGTAAAAAGTCTGTTTCTACTCAAGGATTTCATGTGAGTGCATGAATGAATTAACCAATCATTCCAATTTAACTGTATTTTATTTACTAAATGGTAAATGTTATATACCTTTGTCAGATTTTCACATCGAGCATGAATGGCTTGGATGAAAAGACCACTAGCTGCAGGATTTCTATGAATGGCACTATAAAGAAAGAAAATTTTATTAAGAAAACAAAATGTAAATATGATTAAATTTTCAAAGAAATTCAATATAAGAACTCAAATATTAATAATTTTATTTTGTTATATGAATATTCTTATATTTTTATTATCAAAACTTTTATGTAATTATTATTGATATTAATTTCTTATTTAAATTATATTATTTATATTGTGAATTGATCTACCTTATAAAATCTTGAACAGGTGTTTCTGTTGATAATTGAATTAAGTCATTGACATAATTAACAATCAACCATGTCATTTGTTCTGCATCATTCAAATTTTCACACTGAAAAAAATTTAATGAATTAGTGTCTGCTAGTAATGACACAGAACAAAATTATTACTTTTTAATAAAATTTATTCAACAAATTTTAATATATCACAGCAAAATAAATGATTATTTCTAGTTAGATCTTTATTTAGTTAATATAATGATAAAAAACTAAATAATAAATATCAGAACTAAATAAAATTACAGACTATCATTTTCAATATATTTTCTGTTTTTAAAAGTTAGAGATGCAAAACAGCTTTAATCATTTATAATCTTTGATATTTGGTACTCTTCTTTTCTAAAATATTTGAAGCAGTTATTGATTTTATTTTAGAGAAATATGAAATAATTAATTTTAAATATTAAAAGGACATTCATGGACATTTTTCATAGACATTTAAAATGAAAAAGTCTTCTATAAGCATATGTAAATTTTAAACTGATTTCCTGTTTCACAATTAACTCCATATGCTAATAATAAACAGTTCATTCTTGAAATTTTCTTATTTACTAATGTTGAATATATAGTAGTTTGCCAAAATGTCCATCCTTTTAATTTGCTCATAATGCCAATCTTTAAACAATATTTTTTTCTTGAAGAAAAATACTGTAAATTTTTTTGTTTGTTAAAATAATGGTATGAGGAAAAACATTATAAAACAAATTCCAGCAAATAAAGTTTTAATAGTATGAATGGACAATTACAAAAATTATAAACATGATTTACAAAATATAGAGCAATAAACAATAAAAAGTTATTGACAATATGTATTAAATTTTTATTTATTTATATCATTAGTTTCTAATCCATTATTCAATCAAATAAAAATCTGTTTCACTTGTTTATTATTTATAATCAATAAAATTAATTTGTATTTAAAGGTATAATGAAGTTTTTGATATAAATTATTGATATAAAATTAAACTTACCACATAATCACAAAGTAATATAATTCCACCTTTTCTAACCATTTCAAGGTTGCAAGAAGTCATTGTTAATGTATCATTTGTGGTGCTAAAATAGTATAATTACAAAATTAGTTTATTTAAATTAATAAATATTAAAAACTATACTTAATCAAATTTTAAACATTTTTTCATGAGAAGAAATGTTAATTTTTAACAGAGTTTAAGATTTTTTCTGACTGCTTCAATCACAGGATAGAGCTGGAATAAAAGACTAATTTAATTGTTAGTAGATACATTCAAATAAGTTGTAAAAAAACAACCAAATTTTAAAATTTACTTGAGTGTGTGTAATAGCCTTAAATGCAAATTCTAAGAATTTTTAAAACAGTAATTTTTTAAAAAAGAAATATGAATACAGTAGACCCCCTATAACGGTTAGATACGTTCCACGTTAATCAAATTTTATGTTGTAGGAATCATTAAATACATGAGCCAATCGCAGCCCGACACGTGTGAAGTTTACGGACTAAGGCTGTTTGAAAGGTTTTCTTCTATAAAATTAACCAATTCTAGACTAATTCCACTCAACATTTCCAAAACACGTATAATTTTTTGGGAATAATCCGTATAAACTATGCTATGAACGAAAAATTATAGGATTACTTACCGAGTGTGTACCGTTCGACTACGCCGTTGCTTAAAGCTGGTTTTCATCGCGGAACAGCACATTAAACGGCGGCCGCGATTTCTAATAACGAATTTTTCGCATAAAAATAACTTGACCTTTGGAGACATCATTAATATAAATAATTTTTATGGCCGTTGAATAAGAAGTGTTTCTTTCACAAGAAATGTATAAAATTAGTGCTGTATTAGACTTACGGTACCTAATTTACATACTGTACAGACGATAATAAACTCAACTTACTAGCCTAAAATCTCCGTAGCGTGTTGCCAGGCGGCAGAAAGTATATATATAATTATAATAAAGTTACAATAAATTAAGTTAATATATAATTATATATACAGTACCTAATTTATATATAATTAATATATAATTATATGTACAGTACCTAATTTATATATAATACTGTACAGATGATAGCAAACTCAATTTAGCCGCCTAAACCGTCCATAACATGCCGCAGGGCAGAGGAAAGTAGTTCGGCTGCTCATTTACTATTGGTCCAGATTCTATCAATCTTGTCACGACACGAGTCGGCAATGACGTTTTAGGAGTTCCTTTATACAAATATTGCTACAATTTTTTCGCTACATTATAGGAATTTTTGTTATAGGAACCCACGTTACAGGGGGGGGTCGACTGTATCTTTTTTTCTTAGAAATTAAAATCAAATGGAGATTTTTTTAAAAAAGCAAATTTACTGAAACATTTTAAATCAAAAAACAAACCATGTAAAAAAAGAAGTAAATTTTTTTCAGACAGTGTTAAATCAAAATAACATAAAAGGAAATCTGTGTAAAAACAAAATTCGGTGTATATTTAAATGTAAATATAGTAAAAATACAACAAAAATGTATAAATAAAGATAATTGTCAATATTTAGTCATTTTTGAATGTCTATTCAATTGGATCATTCTTAATATTAAATTTAAAATAACTTTTAATGTTTCTGAATAATCAAAAATATCAAAATACTAAATAAATAAATGGTATCTAAACAAATATTAAATTTATTATTTTGATATCAAAATCTGTCATCTGTACATATATTTAAATTGATTGATAAAATTTATTTATTGAAAATAAAGTATTAACATTGTATTATAGTAATTGTTTGAAACATGCTATATTATTCATAAATATTATAGTGTTTATAAAAATAACAAAAATGTAAAATTATCATTAATACATTTTTTAAGTGTTTCCTTTTATCATATACTTTTTATTTATTGATAGATATTTAATTAGAACTTATTTTTCTAAGTAACTATAGATTTTTTCATATAAACTAGTCCATGTTTTGTTTTAATTATATTAATGTTTAGTTATAACCAAAATTAATATGAATACTTACTTTGGATGCAAAGTATTTGCAGAGTTAACAGTTTTATTAAATACAGGCCTTAAAATCTGTGTCCAGAAATTTTGATTATCACAGTTCAATAAAGTAAGTACATTACACCATTGTAAAACCACAGTAGGATGAACTGGTGCTAAGTCTAAAAATAACTGACTTATTTCTTTAATAGAATATAAATGAACATTTTTGTCTTCAATCCCTTTTGTCTCTTGCTTTATCAGTGTCATAGCAGAATTAGCTACATGACGAAACATTCCTGTAAAAAATAAATTTTAATATTATTATTATTATTATTATTTATTTATTTATTATTATTTTTTAATCATCTGAAAAGTTTATAGCATTATCATTTAAATTGACACAAGTTCTGTATCTTTCAACTATTTTCATGTTATGATAATCATATATCTGAGTTATTCATTGATCAGACATTAAATAACATTAAATATGCCAGAATTTATTCTACACAACATGTAGTTTTTAAAATGATTTATCTCTGAAAATGTACAAAAAGAAATACAGTAGAGCGGCGGTTATCCGAAGGTCAGTTATCCGAAGGAATTTCAGTCGACAAATTTAAATTTTCGCCAGTGCTGTGGTGCTGTAATCTTTGGCTATGTCTTCGGCTACTCAAATTTTACGTTTTTGATACTAAATTAACTTCTGAAGTATAATTTTTTATTGTTTTTATATTTTTCAATATATTTATTTTGTTTGTACAAAATAAAAAAATAATTTTTAACGATACAAGAGTCTTCGTTAGGCTTAACATCGACGGAATTTCAACGCAAAGCGACACACAACGGAGAAAAATTTCAATACGGGATAAATTAATATATTTTTTCGTACATAATTGGTTATCGGAACAACCCCAGTCCCCAATTGATTCGGATAAACGACGCTCTACTGTAATACATATGACATATAATATATGAATTTATATAAAATTTATAAATGCAGCAATATCATAAAAAAATATTTGTATGTGAATGAGGAGCATATTCTGACTAATAGTATCTCTGCCAAAAGTAGTTTGCTAAGTTTAAAAGTTGAAATTTTAGCATAGAAGAGGGATGATATTTAGATGAATTTAAAATGATGAGAATATTCATATAGAAATAAATAGAAATACGTTTATAAAAAATTTTTATTTATTCTACCCAGAAGATTTCATTTTATACTTAAAATTCCAATATCAACCACATTTGATCATATTAAAATCAATATGAATCCTGCACTCACTATCAGAAAAAAATTTGTTGGATTGAGTTTCTGCATCTGTATCATTATTTATTCAACAAAGAATGATTCATTTCTTGATAGACTAGTTTCTGGAAAGAAGAAATCTATAAATTTGTTTTAAGGTAGGAACAAAACAAGATAAGAAAATTCATTGAACAAAATCATTATGTAAGTGCTTGAAATAATGTTTCAGATAATATTAAATAAAATTTAGTATTGAGTTTTAATTGTAAAATGAATGCTACAAAATTTTTGATATTTGTGATTCAACATACAAGGTATTTATAATTAAAGTTTCACTTTGAAATGGCCATAAAATGAAAACTACTGGACAGAATGTTATCAAACTTAGTAATAGTGTACAGGACGTCATAGGATTTTATCTCCCGTGGAAAAAAAAGTTCAAAACTCACCACCAATGGGAAATGATGCTGTCTACAATATTGTTAAACGAAATAAGACATGAAAACATTGTTGAAAATGTTTTTAATTGGTTTTAAAACAAAGCTGTTTGTGGGGTTACTCTTGATATGCTAAGAGCTACTATTGAGAACACAGTAATGTGATGTAAGTTGCTTATAAAAAATGGTGGATACCACATTGAACGTACTCTGTAACACATTTTAAAACCAATTAAAAGCATGTTCAATGATGTCTTCATGTCTTATTTGTTTAACAATATTGCAGACAGTACAATTTCCCATTGGTGGTGAGTTTTTGAACTATTTTTTTTTTTTTTGCGGGAAATAAAATTCCATTACATCCTATAAACTATTACCAAGTTTGATAACATTCTGTCCAGTAGTTTTCATTTTATGGCCATTTCAAAGTGGAACTTTATTATAAATACCTGTATTTATATTTTATTTACTTTGTTCCAATATGCTAATTAATCTGTTTGTTGACTATTAATATGCATCAATAAAATTTATGCTGTGATTTATATATTCCACAAAATCATAACTTAATAAATTTCATATGATTATTCTAAAGTGTTCTTAGAATTTCAATATGATGACTATGATGAAGTTTTGATTGGAAAGACAAACAAAATGAAACATAAAAATATAAATGCTTCATTATCATACATATTAATCAAAAACATTTTTATAAAATTATATAGTAATGAAATTTTTTTGTTTAATAATATGCTTTTTCATTTCATAAAAACAACATACTTATTATTTAAGTTAATATAAATAATTAATGGAAGATAATATGAAAATACTTTAACACAGAAGTAAAAGTTACCTGATTGAAACATATGCATAAAATACAGAAGCAATTCAGCCATCTGTTGGCAAAGAAAATTTAAATCATTGGTTTCAGATGTAATTGTATATGTTTGTTCATGAATTGCTTTAACTAAAATTCCTGCCACTTGAAACAAAAATCTGTTTAAAAATATCCATAGATTATTTTTAAGAATTCACTATTAAGTTTACAAATTAAAAGCTAAAATATAATAATATAAAAATAATTATCAATTTTTTATTAAATGAATACCTTGCAAACGTTTCTTCAGGACTAGAAGGATTTTCACTGGGAGAAAAATTAATCATAATATCTTCTGCACATAATGGATGATTAAACTGAACAGGTAAATCAGTTCCATATTTTGGAACAGCTATTACAAATCCTAAATCACCCAATCTAGATAAAACCACTTCTTCTTTTCCTTGAGATATCAAAACTCTTAATACAACCAATATTAGGCACATCCAACGATTTAAATTGGGTGCATCAGTCTGCAAAAAGCATTGTTATGTATAAGATTGTTCTGAATTTCCGAACATGAACACACACACACACACAGTATTTTTTTTAATATAACTTAAAATAATAAATTATAAAATAAATTCAACATAAATAATCTGAGACATTGCTTAAATACATTAAATGAAAATAATTAACTTTACAATTAACAACAAATAGTAACAAGTTTGTAGTTTATAAGTATTAAGAAAAACTTTCAGAGACTAAAAATTATAAAATTTGCATTTACTTATATTTTTAATAATTTTGCTTATTTATTTTTCTTCACAAGGCACATTTTCCTATCATTTAAATAAAGGTTTACTTGCTGCAAGATCTAAAATATCCAATCTCATCAAGTTACTTATTAAAATTAAAGCATCTTCATTAAATAATTATTTTAGATTATTTGATTGGCCCAAGTATAATTTATGATTTTTCGGTTTGGGGTAGACTTTTGGAGACAAATTTGAACCAATACAGTTATTCTATTATTTTAAGCAAGTACAGTAATACCCCGACTTACGCGAACCCAGAGTTACGCGATTTTCAAATCTCGTCGATTCGTCTTTTGTTTGAGCGCCACGCAACCCTTGATTACTCACTCCCACCACACTATTGTTCAACTTACATGTTTGAATGTGTCGCGCGGAATCCACCCCTAGCTACAGTTTATTTTGTGTTATTTATTTCTGTGTTTGTTATATCTACGGAGACTTGAGTGACTCTATTATGTCATCCAAATGAAGTAGAACTAATTCTTCTGCATCAAACAAGAAAAGAAAAACTTTATCTTTGGAATGTAAAGTTAACATTGGGTATGTTCGTAAAGTCGAACGAGTTAAACGAGAATGACATCATCGTTATTCCTATTTCGTTAGACTTTTCGAACGATTCGTTACTAACGCGTTTAACTCGTTTGACTTTACGAACGTACCCATTATTAAAGACTTCGATACAAAAATGAAAATTTGTGAATTGGCAAAGAAGTTTGATCTACCGGAATTGTCGGTCAGAACAATTATAAAAGGCAAAGAAAAAATTCTCGAAGCTGTGAAAAATGCTCAATCTTTAAATTCAAGCATCATTCGTAAACGTCACAGTATTATCGCTGAGATGGAAACAATGTTAAAATTATGGCGTAATAATCAAGTAAATGTGAAAAATTGTAAAATAATATAGGCCTAATTTGTTATACATATGTATTATCTAAGATTTTATTAAACATTTTTTTCTAAATTATTGTTTTCTTTAGTCTCCGGCCTCAATTAAAAATTATTTGTATGTATTTATATGCGAAATTATACCCCGACTTACGTGAATTCGACTTACACGGTCCCACCTATCGCATAAGTTTGGGGTATTACTGTATTCCATATTAATAGATATGTCTAAGGACCTGAAGTGAGAATGGAATTGAGAAGACCTCCCCTTGCTATTGGACTCTCGATAAAATTGTTTAAATTCTGGAGGAAGCTTATTGACCTACTGGAAGATGACTATCGAAAATTGATATATACAAGACTTTCACAACTAAACAGTAATTCTTTTTTGAAGCCATGGCATGCTATTGCTAAAGGATTACTAAATAATATTGGATTCTAGTTATATGTATTTAAGAGAAATTTGTTCTTTCTGGATTGTGATCAATGACTAAGAGACTTATATTGGCTAAAACATGTTCATTATTTGAGTGAAAGAGGTTGGAACAGTGAAATTTTTCTTATGAAATGTGGAGTCCAGTGCCTTATTTATTGTCTAATTTGAGTTATAAAATAAAGTCATTTGCTGCACAATTTAGATTAAATAGGTTTTTGATAAACCTAAATGGTAAAATAAATGGTAAAATAATTAGTCTTATGTGACTCCAAATGTTCTTTTTGTGGAACAACATTTCTTTGTTCATGTATCAAACTTAAAATAACAATGCTTTTTTAACCCCCTTTGTAATAATACTCGTTATATCAAATAATAAAGATTGACTGATTGATATATTAATTTACACAGTACAAAAATATTTTATAAAGTATTGAAAAATCTACAGAAAATTTAAATAAGACAAACATATATAAAGACATCTTACCAATTTTTGTGGAGTGGTAAATAATGCTTTAAGTAGGATATCTGTTGGTCTAAAGACACTGGGAGCAACAGCTTCAAATAAACGGTGTAAAGTATCTAAATGAAGTTGTTCATCTAGATGAAGCTAATTCAAAAATCAAAAATACATGTTTCATTGACTGATCTATTAATATCAGTTTCACAACTATTTTCCCAAAATATAAAATTCAAACCTGTTGTTTAGATAGAAGTGGTAATATGATATCGACTATTTGTCTGGATAGTTTTTTCCAACGATCTTCGCCTTCTTTATAACTTTGATGTAAAATTGCAAGAAACAAATCCAGAACCTAATATTGAAATTTTTTTTTAATATTTATTATGCCATTTTAATCACTTAAAATTTAAAAAAATAATTTTTTTTATAGACATACTTTAAGAAATTTGAAAAAAATTAACTGTTTTTTGTTTTTGTTCAGAATGATTAATTACGAGAACTTCAACACGAAATAAATTTATTATATGCATGATACTTAGTACATAATTAAATTTTTATTATAAAAATTTAATTTAACATATTATATTAGGGTTTATAATGATAATTTTATTTTTTCTCTCCTGATAAAATTTAAAATTGACTGTATACATAAAATTTTAAAACAAAATAATATTGTACTCAACTAATACATGAATAACAATGCATTAATTATATGATTGAAAAAAAATGACATTTTATTTTAATAATAAACATAACTTTTCTCATCATTCAATTTAGAAATTTTTAAAATAGCAAGAAAGACTACAGCAAAAATGAAATACTTATAACATAGACAGCAGTTTCATTAATATAAATTGCCCAATAAAGAATTATCTTCTAAACTAATAATAAAATCAAGCTACTATTGCTAATTACTACAAAAAAGTTACATAAGTTTGAATAATTAGAATGAAACTACTTTATTATAAATAAATTTTATTTATCATTAAAGTTATACAGTAGAGCCTCGAAAACTCAGCACTCCGGATAACTCGGCCACACCCTGGCAGTGCAAAAATACCCTTAGATAATTAATTTTCATCATAGACAGCTTTATACCTCAAAGTATTTTTCTGAGGTCTGTCTTTCAGGTAAATTACTGTACACAGTGTATTCATTAATTTTCATTTTCATGTAGTAAAGGCTCTATGCCTTCATAAAGGACGTACTTTTCCTTTGTTTAAGGGTATTTGGGCAGTTTATTCTCTGTTGTATTCTCAAGCAAACAATACATACAAGTACAGTACAGTACAGTATTTACATATTTTCTGAGGAAACATGCATACTTATCCTTTTTTAACCCCATTTCTGATAACCCGGCATTTTCACAAACTTGGCCAACCTTCGGTCCACATTAGGCCGAGTTTTCAAGGCTCTACTGTATTTAAAAATATATCATAAGATATAAATAAACTATCAATGTTATTATATTTAACTAATAACTGAATAAAAGTAGCTTGCAAAACAATACTACCGTTACTCAAAGATAATTAACTTTCTCAAAGATGTAAAGAAAATATTTTTAGCTGGAATAGCTATAGTTTAAAGATTTTATAACACTACACCACAACCAATCAACACTACACTTAGAGACTATTTTTGATTATTTATTGCAAAACTAATCCAGTTAAAAAGCAATTCAAAATTTGTTTTAATTCTGATTTTGTTGTTAAATTTGTATTTTCTGTTTTTAATATGAAGACATTTAAGTAAATGAAAGAAATAAGCCTTTAAATCAAAAAGCTATATTATTTTAAAAACTATCCAATAGGTAAATTTGATTACATTATAATAAATTAATTATAATAAATAATTCAAATTTTATTATAATTTGAATACTAAAGGTAGATAGTGTTATATTTTGTAAAGAATTATTTAATGATCAGAATAATTTTAAATTAACTGAAATGTTAATTTAAAATTATTCAGACATATCTGAAAGATTTGAGACTAATAAATGTATTTGGCTAGTAAAATATAAGGTGCAATTAAAAAAACTGGATTTGGTCTATAAAAATTTTAATACTTAACTAATTTAAATCTTGTAGAAACTAAGCATGAAATTGTTTTAGAGAATTTATCACACAGGACCCATAATAACAGAATACATTTCCATTCATTTGGTTAATAAAAGCCTGTTTAATCAATTACCTAGTTCCTCTGTGATAAGTTGTCTAAAGCAATTTTATGCTCAATTACAACAATTGCAAATACAACAAGAAGTGACCAACTACTAATTTAAATCTGATTGTTATCTTGAATGTTAGTAGAGATAATCTACATGAAATCCATTGTGCTGAATCCTGATCAAGTGCACAAATACTTCATAAGCTTTGAAAGCCATTTTTCTCGAAAACAAAGCCTCTCATGAAAAAGTTTTATTCTGTATTTTCAATGGAGTATTTTATGTAGAATCACTACCTTCCCACTTGTACTACCAGTTACATAGTTAAATGACACACACTGTAAAAATAAAAACTGAAGATCTAAATAGCATAGACAATAAAAAAACCATCCCAGCTTAAAAATTTTGAGTTTGAATGACCCTCTGATAAATATTTTCTTTCAATCATTTATAATTTAATTAATTAATTTAAACTTATTTTCAATTATGTATACTAGTAATGGTGCATTTGTATCTTTCATGTTAGTTGTCATGCTTATTCATTGGTTCACCACTGTAGTAAATACAATGCTACTCATCTGGACTACTACTGTGATCAAAAAGTATTGGGAATGGTTCATTTAAACTAATCACAAGCAAAAGGGTGCTATAGCCAATTTTTCATTTTTTGGTATGACTTTCATTGGGATCTAGCAGTTTTAAACATTAATTTCAGAAGTATTGTTTCCTAGATTTATTTGTTTATTATTAAAGATTTATGAATGGTATAAGCATTATATATCTTATTCAAATAATGTCTATATTTTATATTGCAGCCTTACATTTGATTTATTAAATGTGACAAAATAATCTTTATTTATTATAGAAAAAATAATTTCTCCTGATTCCTTTGTTTGACTTTTTCTGCTAAAATTTTATTTTCATTATGTTTAATAATTTTACATTACTTTTCTTTAAAACATATTACTGTATAAATCATAGTGCAAAATATACACCTAAAAATAATAATGATATCATAAATGTAATTATTATATCTAAAAACATCAATTATATTTTTTATATAATCTTAATATTTAACATTAAAAAAATGTGAAAAAAGCAACATTCTGTTGAATTTAGCTACAATTATAATTCAAGCAATGAGATCAAAAAACTATGTTGCTAAATTTTCACATTATAAAATTACATTATTACTCACTGAAAAAACTTAACAGACAGCAGACCTGTGGATAATGAACAAGACGAAGCAGCATGGAAACCACAACTTCTTTTTGTGTATCCAATTCCTTTCCTGAATCTAGCTTATTTGATCCTCTCAACAAAAAGAGGTCTTCTACAATAGGTTGCAGTGCAGGAATTGCTTTATTAAAAAAATTTTTATTTACAATTTATAAATTATTAACAATTCAAATTTTATAGATTAATCTATAAAATTATAAACAAATTTCTAAATTATATTAATAATACTATATAAAACTTTATACTAATAATATATCTGAATATAAATAACTTTCAAATTTTCAAAATTAAGAACATATTCTGGTAATATCACTAGTATCAAAGAAGCAGAATTATTGTCATTAATTGATAAAAATCTAAAAATTTATTAGTATTTCCTTTATTAATAAATTAAATTTATTAATAAGGAAAAAACATCAAAATTTATATTTCATTTAACAAATATTGACTTCACAAATACAGGAAAACTTTGATTTAATGGACTTCAGATTTAACAGACAAAATTTTCAGTTCACATATCATATGTGAAAATTAACACTCTGTTCATTTTAAATATGTTTTATATGTAATTAAATTAACAGGGGTTTTTTAAAATCTAAATCTAAAAGAGTCAATGCTCATAAAGTGTATTTTCCAAAAAATATTTATCTGTTTATTTTAATTTAGATCAAAAAGTTATTTATTACAGTTTCAAAACTATGGTGGTACAAAAGCAATAATACATATTATAGAAAACTCTTCTGTGAAATTAAACTTCTCATACATACTTAACTTTAATTACACAAAAATATCTATATAAATAAAAACAGATAAACTAATTTTTCAATTTTTTAACATGTGCATTTGGAAAACCTACTTTACTATATAACAAACTTTTGGCTTTAACAGACAACCTTCATCTGAATTAATCTACTAAACAGAGGTTTTACTGTAACAATTTATTGTATTTCTATGTAATAATTTTATTGGATTGGATTTTTCAAATTGCAGACCTATACATTCCCACTGTTGTCCATCTGTTTGTCCTTTGTTAATCTCAAGAACAAAATTAAATAGACAAAAACTGAGACCAGATATAGAAAGCTTAGGGGCCAGAGACACCAATTAAATATATACAGATGGTTTGGTTTTATTAAGTTATGACAATACAACACTTGGGCAATCTGCCTAGGGGTGATGCCTTCTGGGAGGTCTTTTTAAGAGTAACTGGCATCTATTCAGGCATTACAGATGTGGAGAAAACCCGGAAAATGCCACATGGCCAGCCTGTCCTGGCAAGGTGCAAACTCACAACCGAACTCCCAGTGTTCAGGGAACAGAACTGCTTGGCCACTGTGGGCCTATATACAAATGATTAACTATATTGAAATCACAAAACGCTATATTTATATTTGTATATAGTTAATCATTATTTTAATTCAAAATTTTCTCCAGAACAGAGTTAGATAGATAGATGATTGGCATGACTTGATTGTTATCTGGAAAAGTACAGATATACAGGGGCAAGACACTACTAAACTTGAAACCAGATACAAAAAGTTTATGGGCCAAAGGCCCTGATTAATTTAAATTAAAATGATTACAAATTGCAGCTTGGCATTGTGACACTGTCACAATAATTTTGTAGATTTTTTTCAAACATTGCTAATATAACAATTTTAATTGTATATAAATAAAGAAGGTTCCCATGTGTGTATTTATCCATCCAATTTTGATGATTCTTATGAATTGTAGAGCATCAAAAACTATAAAACTTTTTTAAAACATTCTTTGGAAGTAAAATTAATCCTCAAAGCTGGACATGTTATGTAACAGAATGGTCAATATGCTGGCCTTCAAAATTGTGTATGCTGTGGTTGAACATGTGATTTGGCAATATCAACATGCTGAGACAATGGAGGCAAGCATATCAAACATGTTACATAACTGTAGTTTACTGTGTGTATATAAGTTTTGAGACATTTTGAGTTACCCTCTATGGTGTTGCAGCATAAATTACTGCCCAAGCAGACATTTTTTTTTTGGTTTCTAGTAAAATTCCAGCTCTACAGATGTGAAATGAAATGTCTTTTTGCAAATTAGTTTCCAACTTATATCTTTTTTAAATATAAACTTTAATTACAAACACTTTGTATATCAAAATCAGAACCTGTCATAAAACTATCAATTTGAAAATTTCACACTTAAAATTTTTTTGTTTTTTTTTTTTTAAATTTGTGTAATCAATATGCTTACCATACTTATCGGGTGGTTGTCCACTTGCCATTAATCCATCACACAGCTGAATAATTTTAGGAACTCCAATAATGACTTTAGAATGATAACGTTCATATGATAACAGAACCAAGAAGTAAAATATTTTTGGAATAAGCAGTTCAGCACACCTATTTTTGTAACATAAAACAGTTAATTTGTAATTTAGTCAAACTTCAGGAGATTTTACTTTAAACATTTTTAAGAAGTATTTAATTCTATAGAAAAAATATAAAATAACTATAAATTTTTCTTTAATGCTAGAATTCAAAAAAGTAATTATCATTTTAAATATGTAACAATTAGCTATTGTTATAAAACTTAGTTGCTAAGATGCATTACAGATATTACTATTTTGTAAATGTTTATATTTATTATTTATATTTAACATTTTTCCATTAATGCACAATATATTAAATGTGTAAGATTATTATGTGGTAGTATATTAGCAACTAATTTTTAATTCATTTTAAAAAGAAATACAGTAGAACCTCGACTATCCGGACTAATTGGGGATGAAGGTAGTCCGGATAAGGAAAAATCCGGATAATCGAAACAAATACTTTAATTTGTCTTTTAATGATAATACAACATGTTTTCGTTTTGATGACATATCGGTAATATTAAAAATAAATACTGTATTTAAATCGTGATCAAATTTTCAAGAAACAAACGTTCGTATTGAATTTGGACTACTACTGACCAACGCTAACAGACTACCTATTGTTTAAAAGGCCCTCTGGTGGCGCAAGAAGACGGATTTTATAAAATAAAAAGCAGTTGAAACTGCATTTTTATGAATAAAAATTTGACAAACTATTTATCGTTTTATGACGAGTAAAATTTTTTCGTCGCGTTCGCGGCTTTTAAGTAATGCATAAACCTTCGAGGCGCGAGGCCCTTCGGACCGCGAGGCATAGGCGGTGGCCCACGTCGTCCATGCCTTACGCCGCCCTTGGTCATAGAAATGATGTAATTTGAATATAAATTATTTATAAATACGTATGTCAAGTTATATTTTTATTACTACGTAAAATATATTTAAGAGTTTACGACCACTGTGCTGGGTGAGACGTTGTTGAAACAAAAAAAGTTATGCATTCCATCACGTACATAAACAGTATCATAATTCGCCAAGTGCAAATCAGCGAATTAGTAAAATTTTTGTTTATTTTGAACAATCCGGATAATCGAAAATCCGGATAATGGAGGTCCGGATAATGGAGGTTCTACTGTATTAACAATAAAAGTTATTTTATTGTTAATATTAGTTGCTAATATACTAATATAATATTAATTTTTCTTTGAAATTTTATCATTTGTTTGTTTGTTCTAACATAAAAAATTTTGATTAATTCATAATCTATGTAATAAATCATTACAATCTTCCCAATATATGTAGTTATATCTTATTATTAATTATAAAGTTACTTACGGTATTTGGCCTTCCTCAACATATTCAAATTGCTTGATAACAAATCCTATAAAAATTTGATCTGAATCCAACAGACAATAATTAACACGAAGCTGCACTAACTGTGCTAGTAGATCAAGTACCTGACACTGTAAGTTGATATTACTTGTCACAGTATATTGTTTTAATGCCTGCAAATAATTTTTTTTATTCTATTAAAATATATATAACATAACAGATAAAATTAACTTAAAAATTATTAAATTCATGGTTTTCCTTAATTTTTCTTAATTGACCAATTTACAGTATTTAGTTACAAAACCTTTACTATGTTTCTGTGTTATGCATAAAATAGAATGGGCTAAAATGCAAAAGTCAAGATTTATTTTATATTTATAAAATACAAATAAATAATCTTAATTAAAATTATTTCTGTGAATAATGTGTGTTAATAATTGTGCTTACACTCATATCAGATAAGATATTTACCTAATACTTTGTTCATAAAAAATAAAATTTCCTTTAAATTAAATTTCTTCCCTTGGATGGACACATTTTTCAAAAAAAAAAAAATTTTTTAAAAACATTCTCAACAATGTAATTTTTAATACAGTAATAAATATTACTTTAATAGAGCATGAAAATTTCAAGCACTTACAGTTATAACCTTGAAAATCACTCAATTTTCATACACCATTAAAGCATTTTTACTAATTAATATAATTTATGGAGCTGAATCTGTGTGCTGGAAGAAACCAGAAATCCTTGAAATCAGTTACCTGTTTTTCAACAAAAATGGTTTTTAAATATCAGATGCCAAACTTGTTTCAAAACTGGTTTGAATTCAGTATAATTATTATTTTAGTACTGCAATTTATTAATATTTACAAAGTACTACAGTAAATATTAGTCAGTATTCATGAATATGCCTGTATTACATTATTCCTCTGCAAAAACAGGTCAGTTTTTCTTAGATGTTAGCAAATACTGAAATCTAGGAAATAATGATTGAAAATTTTATTGTTTTGAAGTTAATTGATGCTAGTTTTCAGGTTAATTTTAATTTTAAAATTTAAACACAAGTAACATATGGCATTATTTTAAAATAGTCAAGAACAGTAAATTGGTGCTATGTACAAATTGTTATGTTATACTCCTGGAAAATTTCAGTGTATCAGTTAGGTGAATTATCTTAAATCCAAACCTACTTTACTGTCAACTACAAATCAAAGAGGGCAAGTAAACACCATGATACCAATTTCATTACCTGTTCAAAACCAGTTTTGAAATCAGGAACATACACTAGAATCTTGTTTTAACAAATCACAAAACAAGATTTTTCCTCAGGTCCTGCCAAACCAATGTAATTTTATTTCCTTTAGTAAATATGTAACTCAGAATAATAACATTTTTTCTAGCTCCATCTACTATAAAAATTGCATATTTTTCAACATTTAATTAATATTCAGTGTTTCTAGGAACTGTATTAAAATTAAAAAAAATACATTGCATATGGAGCAAAATATGAACATCACATCAATTATAATCATGTCAAATGTGATTATCATGGTTCATATTGCTACAAAGATTGTCCCAAAAGTAATGTACAGTTGGCTCTAACTTGAAAAATATTTATTGAAGAAGATAAAGTGATTACAGGCTTTCAAAATAATCCTCTCCCTTATCAATGCACACTTGCCAGCAGCATGGAAGTGCTTGGATTTCGTTCAGTGTCCCCTTCTTATTAAGCATCCGAATCTGTCAGGTCACTTCTCTTTGGAGCTCTTCCAATGTCAGAAAACACACCCCCAAAGAGGTTCTTTCAGCTTGGGGAAGAGATCGAAGTCAGGTGGGCTTAGATCAGGACTATAAGCTGGGTGGCAGAGCTATTTCCAGCCGTATTTTTTGAGAAGTTCAATGATAGGTGCACTGATGCACATGTGAATGAACCAATGATCATCAAACTTTGAGAAGTTTGATGATCGATGCATCTTCGATGTTTGTTTGACCTTCTCGAAACTTCATGTGCCACCTCTGTACTGTGCTATGATTCACAGTAAACCTTCCACATGCTTCTTTTAACGTGACATGAATTTCAAGAACTTTTTTACTGTGCACTCTTTCGATGCTCTATTGCTGAAATCCAACCTGATGGACTGTTCTTGTCGTCTTTTCGAATTTTTGGCATTTTCCCTTTAAAGAAATCCCACTACCATATGATACCAACATGTTTGAAAGACTTCAATCTACACACTGACACTTTGATCAGCTGTCTATGTTGCCTACAACACCCACTAGACTGCGCTATGCATTACTTTTGGGACAATCCTCGTAACTTTGCAAGTGCACACATCAATGCCTTCTTGTAGCACATTTAATAGTGGCAGGAAGCCACTTCCAGTTGTACTCAATGAACAGAAAATGGCATCAAACCAAGCCAAGATAGATCAGTTTTTACAAAATGCAAAGTTAAATGAAATGCTAAATGAGTGTATGTACTGTACTTTGCCTCTTTTCTGCTATATGGTTTTCATTAACTTTGTTGTACAAACATATGGCATAATGAATGATCTTAAAACATATGTGTTTCTATAATATAAAGGATAGAAATATCAAGAGAATGAATAATTTCAAATATGGGCATTTCTTATATGTAGGGGTAAAAAATGGAAATTTTTTTGAATAATGAATATTTTCTTAAGTGTGCGGGAAATCCATTGTTTGCAATATAACATTTCATTCTTGGAACAATGAATGATTTTCGATGACCTTAGTAATCTGTTAAAATGAGATTCTACTGTATTAGGAAAACTTTTATATAAAAAATTTATTCAAAAATATGAAATAAAAAATACCTTAATGACAACAGTTTCAAATAATCTTATGTGTGCAGCTAAAGATGCCTTGTCACCTTTATTTCCAGATCTCAAAAGAATATTTAATTTTTTTTCACTTCTTCTTCTCATCCAACTTAACCAACTGAAATAAAATATCAGTAAGTTGGTAAAAATTATACTACATTAAATAAAAGTAGTTAACTGAAATACCTTCCTATTTCTTCTCCTTCAGCACTTGTTGGCCGAGTAGAGCTGTTTGCAATAGAATGAGTAAACTGAGTGTAAGGGTATGTGACGCAGTTATGATATAAACCAGGAGCAATTGTCGATGTTAATCTAGTTGCATAACCAGGTTTCTTTGATGATGATGATAACTGTTGTGGTTCTTCCCATAAGCTAGCTAAGTTTGTTCCAAAGAGAGATTTCAGCAACTGCAATTAATTTAAAGTAAAAGAAAAATTAGTTTTCTTAATTTTATTTAATATTCATAATAATTTTATCCTTACAATATATAAAAATTTTTCTTCTTATTAAGTAAACTGTCCTATAATTGTATAAATGTTCTAAAATATTTAAAGAAAATTGTGAAATATTTTTGTTCATCTAATTTCTAAAATTAGTTTATTATAATTTATTATTAAAATAAGTGATTTAAGTACTTATAAATACAAAATGTTTCCTTTTTATAAAAGAAAACTAATATTTGTTCAGGAGAAAATTTTGAATTGAAGTAATGTGACTTCCATTCCAAACCAAAGTTTGTATATAGTTAATCTAGGCCTTCTGCCCTAAACTTTCCACAACTGGTCTTGACTTTCAGCTAATTCCTTCCTTGAGATTAAGGAAGGACAGACAGACAGGAGATAACAGTCGGAATTTATAAGTCTATAATTTTTTCAAATTGCAGTCCAGTAATTTTTCTATAAATACAATACAGTGGGTGATCGGGATACAAGAACATATTTCCCATATTATTTATACAATTTGATGCCAAAATATAAACACTTACCACATAAAAGCAATTACTGGTATTCTGGCTTTTTTACAACTTTTTTTATTTCAGTAAGCCATAGGAAGACTTTCGGACATTAATTAAGGTTAGAAACTTCAATTGCAAGTGGGACCATCACAATCCATCCAACACAAATCATTTTTCAAATATTAATAGCAGACCAGTATTAATTAGCAGTTTTTGAGCATCCTCTCTTCCAAGAGGAGGTCAACAACTATTTTTGATCAAATTACTTCAATCCCCTTCTGCAACAGTCTCTTCTTTCTATTAGACCAGTGATATGATGGCATTCAAATAGAAAAATTACACAATACAAGACTGTCATCCTGCACAAAATATGGTTTAAGTGGTTTTTGAGGATGCTGAGTTTAAATATTTCATCCAATTTTTGTGAAATTTGATTGATTGACAGATTATTATTTGATATTTGGCTGTGACTGGTACAGTTTCTTAGAGTTAACATTAAAAAAATTCCTAAATTTTTAAGATATCATATTTTTGATTCTTGTCTACTTGATCAATGAAATTGTGACATTTCTTAACATCAGAGTATCGTGTTGAATATGACAATGGTAGGTTGAAATAAGCAAATTTTTATATGGTTTTCATTTTAATGCTTATTATATCATAGTACAGTAGAACAAGATTATCCGGACCTCTATTATCCGGATTGTTCAAAATAAACAAAAATTTTACTAATTCGCTGATTTGCACTTGGCGAATTACGATACTGTTTATGTACGTGATGGAATGCATAACTTTTTTTGTTTCAACGTCTCACCCAGCACAGTGGTCGTAAACTCTTAAATATATTTTGTGTCATAATAAAAATATAACTTGACATACGTATTTATAAATAATTTATATTCAAATTACATCATTTCTATGACCAAGGGTGGCATATGGGCAACGTGGGCCCTCACCTATGCCTCGCGGTCCGAAGGGCCTTGCGCCTCAAAGGTTTATGAATTATTTAAAAGCAGTGAACGAGATGAAAAAATTTTACTGGTCATAAAACGATAAATAGTTTGTCAAATTTTTATTCATAAAAATGCAGTTTCAACTGCTTTTTATTTTATAAAATCCATTTTCTTGCGCCACCAGAGGGCCTTTTAAACAATAGGTAGTCTATTAGCACTGGTCAGTAGAAGTCCAAATTCAATATGAATGTTTGTTTCTTGAAAATTTGATCACGATTTAAATACAGTATTTATTTTTAATATTACCGATATGTCATCAAAACGAAAACATGTTGTATTATCATTAAAAGACAAATTAAAGTATTTGTTTCGATTATCCGGATTTTTCCTTATCCGAACTACCTTCATCCCCAATTAGTTCGGATAATTGAGGTTCTATTGTATTTGATTTATATAACTATGAAGGTTATCTTACATAATGGTTTATCACACCAAGTGACCAATCTAACATATTAAAAAATTTTCTTCCTCTACTGTACACAATTTAAAGAATTTTTAAAATGCATTAGATTGGTTGGACTTATTTTTTGCTCAGACAATGTCAGTCTTACCAGCTAGTAAGTTTATATTTTAATTATTTTATATAAAAAGTTTCATTTATAACTTACAGATTATTAGATATTATTGGCATGAATAGAAATGGATAACTATTTGGATAATTCATCTAATCGATTAATAGCAGCAAAACAATTTTTATTCAAAGTACTTTTTAGAATAAGAGTAAAACAAAAAGTTTGAAATTATTATTCATGTAACTTTTAGCAATAAATTAATATATGATATTAAAAGTAAGTTCAAATTTTATATTTTAGCTTCAAATTAGTATTTACTAAAGTAATAATCATAATAATAAATTTTTAAACATCTCACTTTTAAAATATTTTATGAAAAATATCCAATACTAACGGAAATTTTTTACAAAATTTGCTTTTTTTTAAAAGAAAAAAGATTTAAAAATAAATAAATAATGCCAAAAGTAACTGTCTTGTTTATTTATAATGAAAAATTAAAATGCATCATTATCAGATTTAAAAAATGTAAGAATAATTACATCTGCATAATTGTAACACTAGATTTTCACTATAAAAAAGGATTTTTATCCTTTCTTGATGTAATCAATAAAGGAAAAAGTCCCCTCTCTTGTATATAAAAAAAATTAATTAATTAAAGCATTTTAAAACAATTTTTAACAATCTAAAATCTTCAAATAATTCACATTATAGTATAAACCAGGGGTCAGCAATCTAGGCATGCATGGCACGCAGGACAATTTTCAGTGACACACTGAATAGAAATTAGTAAAAATTAAATTTTAATTACAGTAGAACCCCTCTAATCCGTCACCTTTGGAACTGGGGGTATGGTCGGAACGCAAAAAAGGTCGGATTATCAGAAAAAAGTAAAATAAACAATCTTCCCCTTTGTCCAGTCTTTGTAGCACTGCTAATTTTTCATTTAATGAAAGAGTAACGTGTTTACGTTTCACTCCTGACATGTTGAAAACACACACAAAACTGTACATGTACACACAATGTAAAACATATACTGTAACGAACACAGAAAAACGCCACGGACGGTGAGTCACCGACGAGTCAGGACAAGTTTCTTGACTCTGACCACGGTCGGATTAACCGGAGTGACGGACTAGCCGAGGGCGGACTAGAGGGGTTCTACTGTATTATTAATTTTTGAAGTCCATTGTAGCCAGACCAATTTTGATATTTATATATTTATATACATAACAAAATTGGTAGAATCATGTCAGCATCCAGAATAACACAATAACTTAGGTTAGGCACAATACTGCTGAAAGGTTGCCAACACCTGGTATAAACAATTAAAGTACTTGCTTTATCAATACTAAGAAAGTTAAAATATTGTTCCATCTTTCATTGGATCATCTTTGGTTTTCAAAATATTTAGAACAACTTTCAGAAAATTTTTTATGTTTAATTTAGAAAAAAATAGAATATAACATAATTTAAACTTTTATAATAATATTTGATGATAATTTTTAATTAAAAAATACATTATTTTAGAAATCTGCACTACTTAGAACAGTCAAATTTTAAAAACAAAATTTTACTTAGAAAAAACAAGCCTATGTATTAGGTTGTAAAATGAAATGACTTTACTTCTGACTTTGAACATTTATTAATTTAATTTAAAACTTACATATTCAATCCACATTATCTCCATCAATATTAATACATTTTTTCCAATGCAACAGAAATGCATTAATCCCAATTTCATAGAAATCATGAGAATGAAAAGCCAAAAAATCATTAACTCTCTCAGTTCATGTTGTACCCATTTGTTGAGCTTCTTGATGTTCCTTAACATATTTAGATGTCGAGAAATGGTTGAATAATGTCCAGTATGTTCAAACTTTCCATAACTTCCCAGACATTCAGGTGATGATGTTCTTCAATTCTGATTTTTGAGATTTGTATTCCCAGAATGAAATTTTTCTGCTCTTTCACAGAACTCAACTTTGCCAAAAGTTTTATTAGGGGCTGCTTCAGCTGCATTAAGTCCCTGCTTATACTCAAGAGAAATTTATCCAATTTCCTTTTTTTTTTTTTTCATGTCATCAGAAAAAATACTCTTATACATGTGGAACTCACAATTTTAATGAGAATACATTTTTAATTCACATTCATTTTGTGCTCTTCCAATTGCAAACATACAGCACTGTTCACATGGAAAAAATTTGAACTATAAAGCTGAAAAGTTTAAATTTTAAAAAACAGCCATTTCATTTGCAACCCTTTAAATATTAATATATAAATAACTGAAAATAAAAATTGATTTATTTTTTATATGCTGTATTTATAACACATCTATTTAAAACAAAAACTATTTTTTAACTCATTGACTTGATTGTAACTGAATTTTCATTTAATTTATATTAAAATTTTCCTATCCTAATAGCTTCTATAATAAACATTTTTACACTTTATATTTTTTATACATTTGTTTGATTTCATTCTTGACAATAAATTCAATGCACAGAAATAACATTGTCTGATTTAGTTTAAAATTTAAAGTATTTTAATATAAACAATACATTCATTCGTTTAAAATATAAAATTACCTGTCTGATACACTGAACAGTAGCACAAGCTTCAATAGATAAGACAGACTTTAGGTAACTTAGAATTTCCTCTGCACATTTTCCCATTTCTTTTGAATTAGCAACTTCTAATAATTGTGACAATGTATCTAAACATGCTTGCAATAAGCCTGTGAATTTTTCTCCACTTTGAAGATCTAATGATATCTGAAATATTTTAAATTATTAATCATTTAAACTCAAATTTATAAAAGTTAAAATTACATAAATGCAAAAACAAATCTAAATTTTTAACTGTTTCTTAACAATTGTTTATTTATTAACAATACACTTATTTTTAATGTTTGATGTTCACTAGTAATATGCATCGTTAAATGTGATCAAGGATTTTTAATGGCATGCTTCATATTATATTTATTGAAATTGCAATAGAAATGCAAGTTATTGTAAGTACAGTAGATCCCCCTATAAGACTGGTTCCTATAATTACGATTCCTATAAGACGGCGAAAAAATTGTGGCGGTATCCATACACAACAGTAAAAAAACTCCTATAATTACGTAAAACGTCATCGAGCAGCCGAACTACTTTCCCGCCGTCCGTAGCACCATGCTACGGACGTTTAGGCGGGTAAATTGAGTTTAGTTTCATCTGTACATATAATTATATATAAATTAGGTACTGTATATATAATTATATATTAACTTAATTTATTGTAACTTTATTATAATTATATATATGCTTTCCACCGCCTGGCACCACGCTACGGAGAGTTTAGGCAAACTATCGTCTGTGCAGTATGTAAATTAGGTACCATAAGTCTAATACAGTACTGTAATTTTATACATTTCTTGTGAAAGAAACATTCCTTATTCAATGGCGATAAAAATTATTTATGTTAACGATGTCTCCAAAGTTCAGCGAAGTTTTCGCAGAAAAATAACATCAGAAATCGCGGCCGCGGTTTGCTGAGCTGTTCCGCGACGAAAACAAGCTTGAGCAATGGCGATGTCGAATGGTGCACACTCGGTAAGTAATCCTACAATTTTTTGTTTATAGCGTAGTTTATATGGATTATTTCCAAAAAAAATATACGTATTTTGGAAATGTTGAGTCGGATTAGTCTAGAATCGATTAATTTTATGGAAGAAAACCTTTCAAACAGCCATAGTCCGTAAACTTCATACATGTCGGGCTGTGATTAGCTGTGATTCCTACAAAATCGGATTCATAAAGAATGGAATGTATCTACCATCTTATAGGGGGATTGACTGTAGTAAAGTTAATTTTTTCTCAGTATATACCTTTTTCAGAGTATCACTTTTTCAAAATTTATTATTATTCAAAATTTTTCATGGAAAAAATAGCATAATAAATCTTGAAAAAATAATACTCTGAAAACAATATATTCAAAATAATAGCATTTGTCATTTATTATAACATGTTTGTAAATATTTCCAGATGAATGGTAATAAAATTTAATATTATATATTGAAATTCTTTACTATTTTCAGTTAAATTTGTCACATTTACATTTACAGCAATAATTATATAAAAATTAATCATTATGAAAAACTTATAATGAATAATTTTAATATTTTATTGGAATTAGCTCAAAAATAAATAAATACAGTCAAACTTGGTTAATTTGAATTTTACAAATTCCTTTTGAGTTTGCCGAGAAAATAAGAATTACTGATTTTAAAGAAAGCTCAGGTTGGTCTGATAGCTTTAAAGCTAGAAATAACTTAATATTTAGAAATACTTTTGGCAAAAGTGCATCAGTAGATAAAGAAAAGACTGATGAATGCTTATAAACCAAAAATACATTTTTAATGTGGATGAAACAGGTCTTTTTTCCAAGTGTATGCCAGGCAAAATGTTTGTCTTTAAAAATGGACAATATAATGGTGGAAGAAACAACAAAGAAATAATGATTTTAGTAGAAACAAACATAAATGGCACTGAAAAACTACCAATCTTAATGATTGGAAAATCTTCAAAACTAAGAAGTTTTATGTCTGAAAAGTTTACCTGTACAGTACAAATCCAACAAAAAGGCTTGGATGACTTTAAAAAATGGCTTATAGCATTGGATAAAAAATTTTACAATGCTAATAGGAAAGTTTTAATGTTTATTGATAATTGCATTGTCAATCATAATATTCTTCAGCTGAAGTGCATTAAAATTGCATGTTTTCCATCTAATATGACTTTCATTGTGCAACCAATGGATCAAGGTGTTGTTTAGAATCTCAAACATTTGTATTGTCAATATGTGGTTTGGAAAATCTTGAAAAACATCAATTCCAACATTGCATCATTTATAGATGTAAAATTTATTATTTAATCAAAGAACAAAATGTCAGATGATAATGTTGTAAATTCAGACAAAGACTAATATATATCAACTGCAAAATTATATAAAATTTGAATTAACTTACAAAATGTTTGTTGAAAATAACTGGACTGATAAAAAATAAATACTGTATTTACTTGCATATTAGATGAGGTTTTTATTCAATTTTCACTGCTTCAAAAACCTAGGTCTCTATACGTAAGAGTGAAGGATTCTTTTCGTTTTTGCAATAATTTTTGTAAACTGTATATTCACATTTTTTACCAGATTCTCACCTTCTGGTGTTTAAAAACAAAAGTATTTTATCTGGGTCATTTGAATCATTCTTGTGTATTGTCAAGAGTAAAGATGAATGGCAATAGGAAAAGCAAAGCTTTTGAATTCAATTCCAAAATTACACAGGAGCCTGATATAACTTTTAATCCATTCCCATGTGAAAACAGATGATTATTTGGAAATCAGAATTCAGAGAAACTCGTAAGTTTAATTGATGAAGAGTGAATTAGACTGTTAAGAATTGACAAAAAACATTCCCAATTGTCCAGCTTTACATGAACAAATTAAACTATCAATTTTACAAGATTTTCCCTTAAAGTTTAAAATGCTAGTAATTTTTGCAGGACAATGTGTGCATTTACATGCATTTGATATTTTATTTGTGATTAAACAAAATAAAATTAGAATTGTATTAATAAATACAAGTAAATATGGTAAATAAAATAATGAGGAACATAGAGAAGAGAGAAATGAGAAATCAGTGAGAAATTCATTCCAAAGAAAAAGAACTTTCTAAATAGTTATTGAAACTAATATCTATCTTAATTAATAAAAATTTCATACTTAAATTTATTCAAACTCTGATAGTTATCATAGTTTTCAAACTTTTTCAAAATTTCAATCAAAGCAACAGGAAGACTAACTATCCAGTAATAAGATCCTCATTTATTATTTTGATAATAGAGAAGAGTTTGAAAGATACCAGAAATTAAGAAAATTGAATGCCATTAGAATAATTCCACTGAATCAACAACAAAATGCTGGAAAAACTTTGTTGAATTTGTATTTTAATGGTTTTTCTGCAATCTCTTTTCAAGTTAATATTTTCCAAACTGTAGTTTCTAAGCCATTTCACTATCTCTTTGAATTTCAGTGCTCCAAAAATATCAACTCTTTATATATTAATACAGTGGGTGATCAGTTAATGAACATAATCCATTCCAACACTTTGTTCATTATCTGAATTGTTCGTTAACCAATTATCAATTTACCATAGGTTTTATGGGAATTTAATTCATTCTGGAGACCCCAAAAAATAAAAAATCTAACTACGTTTATTTATGTTACTGTGAAAGACCGAAATTAGAGAATGTCGATATTCTCCAGGGAATGTCGACACATACAAAATACGCCGGTGAAAGACCGAATATTTGGTTATATTATTATACATTCGAACAATCACCAGTGTATGTCGACAAGCACAGATAAGCTTTGGTGGAGGTCAAAATGACACCCGAGAAGCTGATGTCGACAGAGAGGCGACAGTCTGTCGCCAAATCCTTTGTGGGTAGCCAAAGATAGGACAAGATCGTACCTCTTTTCCCGGCAACAGTTTGGTGGAAACCGCCCACTTTGTCACCGGATGACATTTTTGTTCTTTTGAGCAGCTTGTCAGGTCGAGTGGTGAAGGATGAGAGGGGTCGTCGGTAAGGCGTTGGCAATATCCGAATAAAAGACACCATTAACAGATCAATTCGTAACACATAATAACGTAATCAGTTCATAATTTGTAAAGAAAAGTTACTTTCCATAGATAAGATTTCTTCTCAAGAAATATCGCTGAGAGAAGCAGCTCGTAGCTAATTCAAAAAGTGGAGGGCAAAGCTATACATGCTGTCATTGCAAAAGGAAGTGTTCACGAATAAATGCAGTTGTAAAAGCAAGGGATTCTTGTGCAATTCAAAGTGCCATAACTGTTTAAGCTGTTGCAATAAATAAGACTGTATAACGTTAATCATATAATTTATGTGTAAGTTTATTATTGTACTATTTTCTTTAATGATTTAGAATGTACTGTTCGTTTTAAGTTCAACAGTTTACTTACATGTGCTGTTACTTAAGCTTTCTCCTATTTTGACATATTAAATTAACGTAATAAAAATATTTTTATTCAACATTCACCATCAGTGCATGCTGAATGTCGACATTTGCTGGTGTAAGTGAGAAATAATGATATTTAGCAAATATTTCGTACATACACGAAACGACTGTGTGAATGCTGACATTCACTAGAGAATGTTGATATTCTCCAGATATTGGTCATTCACAGAAACATTTATATGTAATAATAAAAATAAATATATACACAGTCTTGCATTTTTATTAGTCATGTTTTTTCCATTTGTGGGGGTTAAAGAATCTGGCTAATGCCAATTGCTTTTCTCTCTTCTTCAGGATTTTTCAGAAGTAATTAATAGCATTGTCGTCGTAGAGATCCCCAAGCCTATTAACCTCAACTTGGTTTGGATGCCATTCTAAGACCATTGTTCTGACATCCTCCCACTTCTTCAAAAGATCTTTAATAGCAAATGTTGGCATTGATCCTTTTTCATCTTCCTCTTTTTCAAAAGAAAACACCTCACTGAGTTTCTTGGTATTCTTCATTTAAGTGTTCTTTTATCATCAGATCAGTTTCAGATTCCATTATGAGCTCTTTGATGTCATCTTTATTCACTTCCAATTCCAGATCTCTAGCAGTTGTCACAATTTCATCCATAATTTTAGGGGCATCATCTCCATCGCCCTGAATGCAGGAGGGACACAGCTTTCGCCAAGCAGAATGTAACTGTTGTTGAGTGACTTCTGACCATGCCTTTTGAATGAGCTGTAAAGCTTCAAGAATATCAAATTTTTCTTTCCAAAATGTTTTTAATGTCATCATTGAGGAGAACTCGCATGCTTAAAAACACTGATAAAACAGTGCTTGAATGTAAAATTTCTTGAAACCTGCAATAACCTCTTGGTCCATTGGTTGAATTAACAAAGTGGTATTCAGAGGTAGAAACTAAACTGTCAGCCTGGGAAAGTCTTCCAGCAAATTATCAGTGTCCTGGTGCATTGTCCAATAGCAACAGTGCTTTTACTGGCAATTCATTGGTCTGAAAATAATCCTAGATGCTTGGAGCACAAACTTCAAACAGCCATTCTTTGAAAAGAGCCTGCATGACCCATGCCCTTTTATTCAATCTCCACATCACTGGCAGTTTTTCTTTAATTATGGAATTTTTTTGAATGCTCTAGAGTTCTCAGAGTGATAGACAAGAAGTGGGATAAGCTTCATATCACTGCTAGCAGTAGCTCCCAAAAGTAATGTCAATCAGTCTTTCATGGGTTTATGACCAGGAATATTTTTCTCTTCTTTCATAATGTAGGTACAGTTTGGCATGCACATCCAAAATAAACCAGTTTCATCACAATTGAAAATTTCTTGTGGACAATATCCTTCTTTTTTAATGAATTCTTCAAATTTGAGACAGAACTTCTCAGCTTCTTCTTTATCTGCACTAGCAGACTCACCATGAATTACCACATGTTTAATGCCAGTTCTCCTTCTAAACTTTAAAACCATCCAGTAGTAGCTTTGAATTCTATCTCCTCATGTGACGAATGTGGAGTTTGTTTCTTCAGTTCTTCAAAAATTTCTCTAGCTTTCTCTTCAATGATAGTCATACTAGTTACATCTTTTTTCATTTCTCTTTCTTTTATCCAAATTAAAAGCAATCTCTCCATTTTTTCATGGATGGAACATCTTTGTTTCTCAGATGTGATTTTCGTTACTCCTTTAGCTCTGAGTCTTCTTGATTATATCTTTCTTAGCTAAGATGGCATCTACTGTAGACTTGTTCAAGCCATACTGCCTATCATCATCAGACATCTTCTGCCCACTCTCTACTTTGACTATTATCTCCTGCTTGGTTTCTATGGTGAGCACAGTTCTTGACACTCCACTCTTTTTATGCTCCATAATATTATTAATTTCTGTTTGAAATAAAAAGTTCAGAAAAACACTTACAAAAATTTAGAGAACAGAAATCAACTAGCGCATGAAAGAATTATGTAAATGTGAGGCCCGAATGTAATTCAAAATTTTGGTGTTAAAACATTAATGAACACCAGACAAAACAGATAAACTCTCACCCAAACAAAAAAAAAATCCACACAAAACCCAGCGAGTCCCCAACAGTCCTGAAAAAAAAATAAAAAAAAGACTCGGCAAAAAAGTAAACCAAAACATAAAATTACAATCGAGAGTTACAAACTAAAGGGGAAACACTAACTGACCGATAGCAGATTCATTAATGTTTTAACACCAAAATTTTGAATTACATTCGGGCCTCACATTTACATAATTCTTTCATGCGCTAGTTGATTTCTGTTCTCTAAATTTTTGTAAGTGTTTTTCTGAACTTTATATTTCAAACAGAAATTAATAATATTATGGAGCATAAAAAGAGTGGAGTGTCAAGAACTGTGCTCACCATAGAAACCAAGCAGGAGATAATAGTCAAAGTAGAGAGTGGGCAGAAGATGTCTGATGATGATAGGCAGTATGAGCGTCAAAGTTGTTGTCTCCCGTGCTCCGAAAGGTTTCAAATTGTTACCTGAAGACAAGGGAAAATCAATTGGTATTTGTTATTTTCTGTTGCTTCTTTTTATGTTTGTTCAATGAAGTGTTCATTGTCCAATCATAAAAATCTTTCACAAAAGTGTTTGTTATCCAATTTGTTCATTAACCGATCACACACTGTAATCAAAAATAAAATATTCTTACTGGATGATCAGAGAAATCAGTACTTTTGGAATATCAAGAGTTCACTGTACAATACATTTAGATCATGCTATAACTCTGATCTTCTCTCCATAAAAATGGGTTTGTTCGTGCGAGTTAAGCTGAAGTTGCTTAGTAATATAGAAAGTCATCCTGGGTGAAATTCATCCAGGATGACTTTCTATGGAAAACAGATCCCTATTTAGCTGTTACAAACAAAAAAAAAAAACTCAGAAAACTCTACATAACCAGTCTGTTGGCAAGATGCAAACCGAAGATCAACTACCAGTGTTTGTGATTTTTATCCATTCATCCACTAGTGGGCCTATTATAATTTGAAAGTATTAGATATGAAAAATTGTGAATAAATCAAACAATAAATCAAATATGTATGACAAGATAAAATGTTAATAACTTTTATTTAATTAGTAAATCATTAATAAAAATCATATGAAAATATTATATTATAAAAACTTAAATTTCATTCCACTTTTGCTATTACATTAATAACTTAAATGTTTACCTTATAACTAGAATATGCTCCTTTTAACATATCATATATTTTCATATACAGTGGATGACTAAAAAATAGTCCAATGTTTGATAACATCTTGCTACTAGATTTTTCTTTTTCGGTGTCTGATTTATCTAGAATTTAAATTTTAAAAAAATGTAGATATAATTAAATGAAGTAAACTTATTTTTAAATCTGAAAATCTAATTGATATTTTTCAAAATTTAGTAAATAAATTTTATATAGTAGTTGTTTAAAGAAAATCTTTTAATATTAAAGATTCATTATTAAAATTAATGGATTTACATTCATATTCATATTCTTATAACAGCTTACATTTGTTATAAGAATTCATTATTTTAATGCTATACATTATCATTCATGTTATAAATAACAGCCTTATAATCAAGAAATCAATTCCTAATTTTCAAAATTTATTCCCTTGTCAGAAAGATGACTAAAATAACTCAATACAGAACAAAATAAAGTTAAATCAAAGTGAATAAATTTAAAACACCTGAACATTAGAAGGTTTAATATACAACCTCAACAGTGCACATTAAAGGAAAATGTACAGTTAAAATTAGTTCATTTTAAAATTTTTAGAAGTTTCAATTTTAAAAGATAGTAAAATAAAAAGTGTGTGATTTCAGTAATCAAACAGAATTAAGTGATGATGTTAATTTCATTGACAAATTATTTTGAAGACAAACTAATTTTTACTTTCTATTATTTTGATTACAATGATTCATATAAAATTTTGATTTCACTATATTTCTTCAATTCTAAGATGCACTTTCTTTAATCAATTTTTACTTATCCAAAATAGAGGTAGGCCTTACAATCAATAAAATCTTACATTTGTAGTCCAAAACAACCATCAGGACTTATCTATATATTACATTTCATAAATGGGTCTGCAAATGCAGTGTTACAAAAAAATCTTATCTGTCAAGTTAATTCCTTCAATCAAGGAACAATTTCATAACACAAAATTCTGCATCTTCCAGGATAACTCTTTGCCATGTCATCATGCTAAGATGGTAAGCATATTTAGTGTGTATTTTCTCTACAATTTCTTCATATAATTCCTTCAAGAGGCTCAGATCAGATGCCTAAACTGGGTAGGTAATAGTCCTGATCTCAACCTTATTGAGAATTATGATAACTGTATTATGAGAACAAAAATTATAGTGAAAAGGCCTGAAAATAAATAACTGCAGGATTGTAAGAAAAATTTGATATTACAAGCTTGGTATAAAATACCTGAAGAAACTCATTCATTCTATACTAGAGGACTGCAAATCTGTTATTAAGACTCAAGATGGCCTTACAAAGAATTAAAATCTCATTCAACAAGAAATAATGGTTCATGTTATGTCATTCAGGCTTACTTATGCTGTAAACCTATTTTCTTCCATAAATGTGAACTAGTTCTTGTAACTGCTCATTAACAATATTAGTAAGGCTGTGGTGTGAAATAACACTTAAATTCTATATAGCATTATATATAATAAATTGCACTTTTTTTAGTTTTTACAAATGTTCAGACTATAATAGATTATGCACTTCCTGTCTGGTCATCAACATCAAATTCTTTACTTAATACACTAATAAAGGAAATAAACAAAGTATATATTTTATTAAATAAAATATCATATGCTTGTTACAACTTCTGCTAATGTTACTAGCATTTGATTTAGTTTTGCTTTCCTTCCATATAATCATCTACTTTGAGAATCTTTTAATATATAAATATTTTAATAGATTTATCTCTGATAATTTTATTATCTGTATTCCTTCAAAGCAAACACATAATACCTCATTTTTTTATTCCAAATTTTAGACTAACTATTTTGTGTAGATTTTTAAATATTGTGCTTCTATAAATATTTACTAAATTGACAATTGTTTAGATTTTTTTTTTTGTAAATTTAGAAATCTTTGTAAATAAAATACATATTTTTCGACATTTTTTGTTTTGTATTACTTATTTAGATTGTTATTTTCAACTATGTATTATATACACTCACATGCCAAAAATCATAGGATAGCAATATGTAAATTTTGACATTGCATACCACATGATTGCTTGGACAAATGCAAGACTTTTGTCAGTTGTGAGGTGTTGTCTCTTAAGTATGTAAGGTTTAACAGCTGCCAGGCTGATTATAGCAAAGCAATGTGAATTATTGGAGTTTGAACAGGGGAGAACTGGGCACCAGAAAAATGGGATATCCCATTTTTGAAGTTGTGTGAACATTCCATATTCCTTGATCCCTGATATCACATATGTACCAGGAATATCTGATGGAAGGCATTACCACCCACTGTAGACTTCACAGTGGCCAACTATGGTTGCTTAATAACCAGAACCAGCAGCATCTGCCTAAAATTGCCCATAGTAACAGGCTTGCAACACTAGCTCAAACCACATACAAATTCAATGCAGGAGGTACAAGAGACATATGGAGGAGATCAATGCAGCATAGTTTAGCATCCACAGGATTTAAGCAAAGACCTACCAGAGTGACTATGTTGATACCATGATTTAGAACATAGTGCCTCACTTGGACTCATGAACATAGTAACTGAACCCTAGAGGACTGAAAAAATTTGACATAATCTAATGAATCATGCTCTCAGTTGTTTCAGGCTGATGGTATGGTTTGGGTATGGCACATATCTCATAAAGTTATGGAACCAAGTTGTCAACAACGCACTGGTGTGGGGTGGGTTTACATAGCATGAGTTAAGTCCACTGGTCTTGCTAAACACATTGAGTGCTAAATTGAGTTGCTTGGTGACCATTTACAGTTCTTCATAGAGTTCTTGTATCTCCACAACGATGGACTCTTTTAGCAGAATATTGCATCATGTCATCACAGCCAAGTTGTTCATTGGCTTCTTTGTGCTCTCTGAGCAGTAAGGGGCCTAAAACCACAAATAAAAAGAACCCAAGTTGTTCATAACTGGTTCACGCAGCATTCTGAACAGTTCCTGTGAGTAATGTGGTCACCACATTCACCCAATTGAGCACTTATGGGACATGGTGGAGAGATCTATTTGCACCCAAGATCCTGAACCTACAAGTACTAGGGAATTTTTATTCAGACAGCATGACTCAATATTTCTCCAGAAGTCTGTTCACTTGTAGAATTAATGCCACATTGGATTGCTACAGTTCACTTGACTAGAGAGGAACTTACAAAATATTAAGTAGCTATCTCATAACTTTTAGCAGGTGAATGTATTTATAACAATTTTAAATGTTTTGTTCAATTGATGTTTTTATTTGTTTTATTTGTATTAATTTTATTTGGATTTGATATTTTTATCATCAATGGAAAAGACTACTTCATGCCATAAAGACTGTCTGTATTTGTAAGAATAAAATATGAATAAATTATTGTTCATGATTTCTTTTCTAAACTATTATATGTTATCATTGAAATAATTACAAATTTCAATAATTTAAATATGCTACATTGTAAATCTAGTGAAAGTTTTTGAGATATAATATATATATACATATATACACATTACATTAAATTACATATTTGTGATATATAGAATTCATTATTTTAATGCTATACATTATCATTCATGTTATAAATAACAGCCTTATAATCAAGAAATCAATTCCTAATTTTCAAAATTTATTCCCTTGTCAGAAAGATGACTAAAATAACTCAATACAGAACAAAATAAAGTTAAATCAAAGTGAATAAATTTAAAACACCTGAACATTAGAAGGTTTAATATACAACCTCAACAGTGCACATTAAAGGAAAATGTACAGTTAAAATTAGTTCATTTTAAAATTTTTAGAAGTTTCAATTTTAAAAGATAGTAAAATAAAAAGTGTGTGATTTCAGTAATCAAACAGAATTAAGTGATGATGTTAATTTCATTGACAAATTATTTTGAAGACAGACTAATTTTTACTTTCTATTATTTTGATTACAATGATTCATATAAAATTTTGATTTCACTATATTTCTTCAATTCTAAGATGCACTTTCTTTAATCAATTTTTACTTATCCAAAATAGAGGTAGGCCTTACAATCAATAAAATCTTACATTTGTAGTCCAAAACAACCATCAGGACTTATCTATATATTACATTTCATAAATGGGTCTGCAAATGCAGTGTTACAAAAAAATCTTATCTGTCAAGTTAATTCCTTCAATCAAGGAACAATTTCATAACACAAAATTCTGCATCTTCCAGGATAACTCTTTGCCATGTCATCATGCTAAGATGGTAAGCATATTTAGTGTGTATTTTCTCTACAATTTCTTCATATAATTCCTTCAAGAGGCTCAGATCAGATGCCTAAACTGGGTAGGTAATAGTCCTGATCTCAACCTTATTGAGAATTATGATAACTGTATTATGAGAACAAAAATTATAGTGAAAAGGCCTGAAAATAAATAACTGCAGGATTGTAAGAAAAATTTGATATTACAAGCTTGGTATAAAATACCTGAAGAAACTCATTCATTCTATACTAGAGGACTGCAAATCTGTTATTAAGACTCAAGATGGCCTTACAAAGAATTAAAATCTCATTCAACAAGAAATAATGGTTCATGTTATGTCATTCAGGCTTACTTATGCTGTAAACCTATTTTCTTCCATAAATGTGAACTAGTTCTTGTAACTGCTCATTAACAATATTAGTAAGGCTGTGGTGTGAAATAACACTTAAATTCTATATAGTATTATATATAATAAATTGCACTTTTTTTAGTTTTTACAAATGTTCAGACTATAATAGATTATGCACTTCCTGTCTGGTCATCAACATCAAATTCTTTACTTAATACACTNCTCAAAATAATTTAAAAAGACAAATTACAATAAAACAGTTTATTATCCAACTATCAGAAATTTCACAACATGCCAAGGAAGAGAGGATGAAGCAATTAAATAATCAAAATTATAAAGGATTTTAAAATATATATAAAAATGGGGAATATCGCACTTCTAACAATCTCTGCAAGTATGTGGGCTAAATTTAAAGAATTCGTGCTTCTCACATGTGCAACTGTATGTGGCCAGCTCACGTGTCGAAAAACTTTGATTTATTCGTGTACGCACCAGACGAAAAAACAAAAAATATCATGTATCCACAAGCACTTCAATAAATAAATAGAACTGAAACGACACTTTGAAATGTTTTCCCAATGAAAATGAATAATAATAATAATATAATTATAATAAGTTTCAATAAAAATGATAAAATGTAAATTTAATTTTATCATAACGAGTTCGCTTGAATTTCGTTTCTTCTGAGATCACAGCAATGCGCGATGGGTAAGTTAGTATTTTTATATATTTCGATTTTTTAACCAAATGTTCAAACCGTTTTAAATTTGAATTTGTTATTGCATATTGGTTCGATTATAGAACGATTGTAAATGTTCCAGAAAATTGATCAAATTGAAAATAGTTCGTTTAATTTTCAGCAATTCTCATCATTCTCAGTGGTAGGTGTTATATAACAATTACTATGGTTGTTGAAATACTGATTATAAATGGGGTTTGCTTGCCAAACCTCCATGGGCGAAGTTGCAGGTAACAACTAGTATTTATCATAAAATTATCATTATGAATAAATTACATTAATTATAGAAATAAAATAACACATACAATAAAATCCTGAAAATAAAAATTAAATTGAAAAATTTATAATTTATAATAATTAATGTTGAAAAGAAAAAATGTTTATATAAATTTGAACCTTTTATTAATTTTAAACAAATTAGTTCTAATCTTGAAGTTAATATGGTAAGTAATCCAAAACAACTTTTAAGAAAATCTACAAATGCATAGATACAATAGAATTTAAAAGCTAATTCATATATTTCATTTTCAGGTTTAATTGTCTGTTCTGTTTTAAACTTTGTTTTAGCTTTAGAATCCAATAAGTCAAAAACCAAACTCTGATGGATTACATTTCTTATTTAGTCACCTCTACTCGTAACTGTTTTCTTGTGTGATACGCTTCTTGTCTAGTCTTGTGTTCTATTATATGAGCGCTAAGGTGGCTTTTCTTTTTTGCTAGACTTATTATACCATCAGTAAAAGGAGAACAAACTTTAGAATAACTTTTTATTCCTTTGAGAAAGCATTTTGGACAATTATGTCCCTTTTCAACTCCAATGATGGAGTGAAGAAAGAAAAGTTAACAGGATCCTGTTAACTTTCCCACTTACATCTTGTGTATCACCACATCGTGTACAACTCTACTGTAAGTTAAAACAATTTTCTTAGGTTTTTTCTATTTTACGGTGCACCTTCTTCACTCCATCATTCTGCCATTCTCAAAATGTTTTCTATTGATCTTACCGTAATCAAGGTCACATGGTTCCCAAATTTTATAGTCTGTTTTCTGCACTGCACCATGTATACTGGAGTGTTTTTCCAACACTATGTACCATACCATTATGTTTGCATTAAGTCCAAACTTTTTACATATATGTTGTTTGTTTTTCCTTTTGTAAATCATTTTCCAATTTATCATTGATTTTTAGCTTATAACTGTTAACCATAACCATCCATATTTTATCTAATGTCACAACTCCTGCATTTCCATAACCCATGTGTTTCCTGTTGTTCTTTTACAAATTTGTAACATCATGATATTTTTTGTGCAAACTTGTATACATTATGCTAACTTGTATGTAAACATTTTTTCCTATATAGTTGTAACACACAGAGTTGAAAAGGGACATAATTGTCTGAAATGCTTTCTCAAAGAAATAAAAAGTTTTTCTAAAGTTTGTTCTCCTTTTACTGATGGTATAATAAGTCTAGCAAAAAAGAAAAGCCACCTTAGCGCTCGTATAATTGAACTTTTTCTTTATGTAAATAAATTCTTTATGTATTTCAATAGGTTAAAAATTTTGCAATAAATAAAAAGAAAAAATTTGTCATAACCATCTGAAAGAAATTTATATAAAATTTTCAAAACATAGAGGCAGGGGAGAAAGGAAGCAGGGGAGAAAGGAAAGATATATTAAGCAGGGGAGAAAGGAAGATAAAATCAGATATTTTTGCATTGTTAAGTATTAATAAAGTTTTAAGTGTCCTAATTTCTTAGTTATATTTCATTTAAACTCCATGAAGTATAAACTTTTTATTCAAATAAGACTATATAATTCATAAGATATTCTTATGAATTATATAGTCTAATCTGAATAAAAAGTTTATACTTTTATTTAGTTTAAATGAAAGATTAACTTTATACATAAAAACTACATTAAATACATCATGTTTTGTTAAGTAATAATTTAAAATATAAAATGCATCAATACATATATTTTAAATTATAGTAAATATGATAATTGATAAAGTTTAAAAAATTTAATGAATTTACCTTAATAAATGAGAAAACAATTGTTCAAAAGTTGGAATTAAATGACGATCTTTTAATAAAGTCCATTTTTCATTATACATTTCATCTGAATTCTTAGAAGAATTTCCCTTCTGTAAGAGACTTTGATAACAAGCTCCTAAAATTTCAATATTAAAAAATTCAATGTATTTCATTTTCATTATTTTAAAAATAAAATGACTATATTAAACATGCCAAATTTTTCTATATAAAAGTACATTTTCAATTTTATACATCTACTGAACTATTTGTTGCTGAGAGAAAAATATTAAAATAACAATATCCATTTAGTCTAAAATTATCAGTTTAAATCTGAAATTCTTTCTATTGTAACCAAAATATTAAAGCATGAGTAATTCTGCAAAACTTTTCCAATTTCTCTTGCCCAAAAGAAAATGGTAGAAGAAAAAACATCAATAGATATAAAGTCAAACATTAAAGTTGTAAGATTAGCTAAAATTAACAGATGGAAAAATGAAAAGAAGAATATTTAAGATAATCATTAAGGAAAATCTGGTCATTGATAGTACCAAAGTACTAAAAAGGCAAATTTAAGCAAGCATACACAAATGGAATAGGTAATAATTTTGACAAAACAAATTTTAATTACTAAGATGTTTGAAAAGAGAACAAATAAGACTCACACTAAGACAAACAGAAGACAAAAACAATAAGCAACAAACAAAAGAATAGACATAGCTGACCAATAATGAAGTTCCTACCATTTTCATAAACTCCCTGACATTTCAAAATTTTCCAAATAAAAATCTCAGAATTTCCCAGATAAAAGTACAAATTACTATAATAATTTCATAAAAAGTAACTTTTTAATATCATTGTAAATATTAAAATTATAGTTTATATATGATGTTACTAAATAAAGTTTTAAAAACTATGATTTTTTTCTTTTTTTTTTTACAAATATATTCATCTATCTTATAGTTTTTCTTAAAAATTATAAGCAGGATTTTTTAAATGTTCTTTCTAACTTTAAAAGTCAGTCATTTTCCATATAAATTTTTTAAAAATATTATTTACTGATAAAATTTTTGTTCTAAAGATTTATATAAATCAACAATATTGTTTAGCTAAATAATATTAAGCATGTAATAAGTGTTTAGATGAATAATATTAAGAAAGTAATAAAATAAGAAACTTAATAATTTATTTGCCTATAAAAAATGATAATTTGTTACCATCATATTTTAATGTTCAGAACAGATTAAAATATTTTAAAGTTTTTTGAAAATCATAAATTCTTTCACAAAAATTATTTTAATATACAATTACTCTAATACCAAGTAATTTTACAAGTTTTTACATACCTGACATTAGATTTCCCAATAATCTTAATATGTATTTATGAGCCACAAGATCCAATGCTAAATGAGTATCTGTGACAAGTGATAATATATGACTTAATATATTTGATTCAAGATGGCACTTCAATTTTTCTGCTGGAGAGCTATGTAAATATATAAGAATAATTATAAGAATTAATTAGTAATAATTACAAGAGAAAACTTCTTACAATTAAAAAATTTTTTCTTTTACTTACTTAGGAGTTTGTTGTTTTGATACTTGAGAAAAATGATTTGCTATGCAGGCATCTTCACCAAATGTAATATTCCATGCTTCTATATATGTTGTCATAATATATTCTTCTGTTAAGTAATATAAAGTCTGACAGCAACCAAACTGAAATAAAAAATTTGTTTTAACATATCAATTTAATTATATGTTAAAGTGCCAGAATTTACAGCAAAATAGTTTTATAACTTACTGTAAGATATTTATCTACAGAAGTAAGAAGAGTGCAACAAAGTAAATTAATAATCCTTGACAAGGCAGACTCTGTGCTAACAGAGTAAGAGACAGATTTTTCTTGATCAAATGGCATAACTAAAGCATGTACTAATGGTAATATACCAGGATTAAATGCAGTTTGGAATACAGAATTAAGATACTTCATAGTCTTCTCTTTAGTTAATGCAATAATTGGGTCTTGATAATCATGATCAATTTCAAAAAACATATTTGGGATCATCCTGTGTTTAAAAAAATTAGATGTTAATAATTTTTCTTTACTTACATATATTTACTTATATTTTTTTTACTTACAGATAAAGAAATACATATCATAACTATCTTTTCTTGCTTTCAATTGTGTTATTTTACTACATTATTACATTATATTTATTTAGCCATTTTTATTTGAGTAAAAATTATTTTTTTCATAATTTATTCTCATATATCTTCATTACTTATTAACACACATTTCATTACCATCATTATTCCTTATTACTAAAGCATGACCAAAAGATCAAATGTTAACTTCATAAATGCAGAAGTCAATCACACCATGTTTTGAAGTTTTGTTTAATATATTTATTATATTTTTTGACAGCCAAATCATGCATTTCTTTTCTAATATACCAATGATTAAGATTAGCATTTTATCATAGTGCAATAAAAAAAAACTATAAATAATAACTAAAAATAAAAAATAACTATAAATAAAAATTTCTCTTTCTACCTCAATCTGTTTACACTTTTTTGCAAAAAGAGAAGAGAGAGAGAAATTTTTATTTATAGTTATATTTAGTTTCTTACATTATTTATTGTTTCAGATATTTTGAGTTTTGGGTTGAGTTATGTTAAACCTCAACTACTATCTCAACACTTCCCAGTTACAGCTTCATTTGCATAATTGCATAATCAGACTTATATAATGAATGGAACTGCCCTGCACTAATTTAGGATATAAATATTCTACTTATATTTTTGTAACCAAAAATTGTTAAGCAAAATTATTTTAACAGTAAGTTTGGTACGCAAATAAGCAAGGTATAAAAGACCATTGTAAGACACAGCAAGTTAGCCCTCATTTCTACTGGTTAGTGTACAGCTGTTGAATTGTTAATTTGATTGATTAATTGACTGCTGGTTTTCCTTTTGCTAGGTTCTCTTCCCTAAATGAAATTGTTTCAGCTTTTGAATATTGTAATTTTACAAATTGTACTAATAGTCAATTTTATTGTTGCAAATACTGAATTGAAATTTATATTACAGTAATACCCCGACTTACGCAAACCCAGAGTTACGCGATTTTCAAATCGCGTCGATTCGTCTTTTGTTTCAGTGCCACACAACCCTTAATTACTCACTCCCCCCACACTATTGTTCAGCTTACATGTTCGGATGTATCGCGCGGAATCGACACATACCTACAATTTATTTTGTGTTATTTATTTCTGTGTTTGTTATATCTACGGAGACTTGAGAGACTCTACTATGTCATCCAAACGAAGTAGAACTAAGTCTTCTGCGTCAAACAAGAAAAGAAAAATTTTATCTTTGGAATGTAAAGTTAACATTGGGTACATTCGTAAAGTCGAACGAGTTAAATGAGAATGATGTCATCGTTATTCCTATTTCGTTAGACTTTTCGAACGATTCGTTACTAACGCATTTAACTCGTTTGACTTTACGAATGTACCCATTATTAAAGACTTCGATACAAAAATGAAAATTTGTGAATTGGCAAAGAAGTTTGTTCTACCGGAATTGTCAGTCAGAACAATTATAAAAGGCAAAGAAAAAATTCTCGAAGCTGTGAAAAATGCTCAATCTTTAAATTCAAGCATCATTCGTAAACGTCACAGTATTATCGCTGAGATGGAAACAATGTTAAAATTATGGCGTAATAATCAAGTAAATGTGAAAAATTGTAAAATAATATAGGCCTAATTTGTTATACATATGTATTATCTAAGATTTTATTAAACATTTTTTTCTAAATTATTGTTTTCTTTAGTCTCCGGCCTCAATTAAAAATTATTTGTATGTATTTATATGCGAAATTATACCCCGACTTGCGCGAATTCGACTTACGCAGTTACCGCTCGGTTCCACCTATCGTGTAAGTTCAGGGTATTACTGTATTTCAGTTTTATATTAATTATTGTTGTTATAATATATTTTATTTTATGGTCAAAGTCCAGTACTGGAATTTATGGTTTAATAAGGTTTTTCTACTTTTACAAACTCTGGTACAAGTGTTGTTTCTTTAAAATTTTGAGCTGTGGAGATACATCTTTGATTCAAATTTTAATAATATAAAAATTCAATAAATTTTACAATCATGTGCATTTCAAAGTTTTACAGTTTGTATAAATCTAAATTTTTCCATATCTTCATTAATTCATAAATTAAAACGAAGAATTAAGTAAATTGCTTTTTGCACAAAATTCAAAACTTCAATATTCTGTCTAAATTAATAAAATTTTAAGTTAAAGTATTGCTCATCATTTATTAGATACAACAATCTGATATTGTATATTAATAAATTTCATATCATTTTTACTTTCTCCAATTTTTAAGATTTTAGTTGAAAGAAAATTCTAGAAATGCTTGTCAGATCAATTTTATAATATTTTTTTTACTTTATGAAGACAAAATCAGGAATTTATGTTTATTTCTATGCATAGACTTATTTCAGAGAGATATTTTAATAATTGTGAAAATCAGTGTATAGATTTATATTATTTTTTATAAAATAAGAAAATTTTTTAGAATTAAAAATTAAAATGAAGAATGTGAATTGCATCCAATGGACCAATACATTGATGTATTTAGAATGTTTCTTCTCTAAAACAAAAAAAGAATGTTCAAATTAAATTTATAACATACATATGTTGTATGAAAAAATATTTGATATAACATAACCCTCTCTTACACAAATCAGTAAAAATTATTTCAAATTTTATTCTGAAATTTATTATTATAGCAATAATTACATTATTATTTTATGTAAGCTATTTTTACTTTCCCTGCTGTTATATATAACAGAAGGATAGTACAGTGATGTAAAAATGTAAAAATGATCCCTCCAGATTTTTACATTTTTGGATTCAGGACACCTTGAAATGCAAAAAAATTCAGGCGATTTTTCTGTACATATAGATGTTAGTGTGTGGGGGGGGCACAATTTTGTTCACTCTCTTAAGTTTAATAACAAATGTGTTTTTTTGTCGAAAATTTCTGAAATTTTGCAGGGAGGTTTGTTTATTAGGGGGATTGATGCTATTAAATTAAGGTGCAGGGGGTGAGAAGATAATAGGGGTTGTGAGTATCTCCAGTAGAGTCAGACTTAATGATGATTTTACTCATTATTAGCATTTACAATTTTTTTATAAAACCCATCCCTACCCTCAAAATTAAGCTTTTTGCCATTTTATAATAGTTAAAAATATAAAATTTTTAAAAATAAAATATGATAACAAATGGCATCATCAAACATTGCCGGGAAATTAAGCAACTGGCTGCTGGATTTTTTTTCTTTTCACATGAAATCCANTTATAACAGATAGTGCCACCAAAATTTTAAACGTTGCTGGAAAAGTCGAGCAATGGGATGCTGATTTATTTTTTCTTAATGAAAGTTTGCATTACTATTATATAAATTTGTTAATTTTTTATTTTGCACTTTTAATAAGGATCAGTAAAGCAAAAAAATATCTTAATAAATTAAATTATTATAAATGATACTGCAATTGTACTATTAGTTTGTGTTTCATTTTATTTATTAGTGTAATTTAACTATTTTAATGACAATTTAATTATAAATTAGAGATATTGTTTTAAAATATTATATAATTAATAAAAATTATATGCTTATAATTATTTAACAACATTTTAGCAAACAATATGACTTATACTAATGCACAAAATTATCCTGATATTGGCTTTTTTTAATTCTGTTGAGATATAATGCTGGCCAGCAAACAATTATATGGTTTATTTCTGCATATTTTTCTAATTAAAAATATCTTTTTATTCATTTATAGTGCAAGTCATTTATGTATGTAGACTTTGTTAAGAGTTAATTATTTTTAAACCATTATTAAAATTAAAATTAACTCACTTAACAAATGCATGTGCAACTGCCTGTCTGATTCTGAAATCTTCATCTTCTAGGAGAGGCAAAAAAATGTATCTTAAAAATCTATCTTGATAATCAATTCTTCTTGTTAATCCATCATTATTATTGTTTTCTTTTCTTGATTCTAAAAAATGGACTACTTTGAAGGGAATAACTGAAATTATGTTTACCATCTCCACCTTATAAAATAAAAAATATATTATTAAACATATAATATTCCATAACATTTAACATTATTAAAAGATTAATACAATTTATATTTGAATATTAATATAGAATTGTAAATTACAGAGAATAATTTGCACAGCCCATAGTTAAGATTTGAATGTTAAGATTAAATAAACTAATATAAACACATACAACTAAGTTAAAGTGATATTTAGAAAATTTTCTAATTTGTAAGGATCAATATTTTAAGGATATAAACAGAATTCTATATATGGACAATGACTACAAATTATCAGTTATGACTGTACAAGTATAAAATGCATTTAGAAATAAATTAATTTAGCATGAAAAAACTAAAAATTTATGATACTTGTTTAATTTCTTCACATTTCCATTGTAAATTGTTTATAAGGACATGATAATGTTGCCAGAAATCAGACAAAGCTCATGCAAATGACTATCAAAAACTGGCAAAACAAACTACTGTTTTTGTTTCAAAGAAATGTTAAGCCTAACTTCAGCTTTTAACAACAGGAATTGGCTTTTAATATAATAAATCTGTAGAAAGAGCATAAAAAATGGGAATATAGTTCTTAATACACAAAAAAGATTGCAATATTGACATAAAAACAGCCACAAATTTTCTTCAAATGTAGCCCAATTGTCAAGAAACTGCAGAATCTGGCAACCTCTTCTGTGTCTATTTGAAACCATCCATAATCATTGAGGAAAGTAATGCTTATAGATAGAGCTAGTGTCCTCAATCGCTCCTAAAATGATATTTGATATAATCTATCACAATATGAATGGCCAGAATTTGAAATAAAGGAAATTTTATCAGATTTCACAATTTGTTCATTATATGGTATAATAAATTCCATAAACTGAAAATTCCATAAATCTCCAATATTTTCTGGAGATTGTCAGTTGTTTGATATAGAGAAGTTCCTTACAGAAAGAATTTGAAATTTTGGATTTTTTCTGTACATGTTTTTACATTAGATGTATAAATTTATGTAATAGTCAATTTCGTATATCATTTTTAATCATATGAGTATTCTGTTTAATATGGAAACAAAAAATTGAAAATTAAATATTTTTGTGGATGAAAATAATGCAAAATTATGATCAACTAAACTTGACAAGTTATGATCTTATATTTTATATCTACATAAACTCAGTTTTTAATAATCCAAAAATTTATCTTAAAATAATCTATCAGTAAGTATTTTAAGGATTTTGTGTGTTATAAAGAATCTACTAAAATCTTATACAATTTTAATAAATTCTTGCATTATGTATATTAAACACACTTATATAGTAGAATTTCCTTGTAATCACATTGAGACTTGTCTTCACTGATAATTACCAACTGATAATTTTATGAAAGATAAATAAAACTACAATTAGTGAAAATTCTGTTTTTATTGACTTTAAAAGAACTTGTTAAAACATTTAGAAAATATTTAATTTAAATATTTATTACTTATAATAATAATTATTGTTAATTAATAATTAATCCAGTATTGTTTGTTTTTTATTTGTGTTTTTGTAATATGATCTTTAACAATTGCTAAAATATAATTGAGGTAATACATGTTAGCAATTTAATTATTTGTTTGCAATACAATAGTTTAACATCTAATGTTTAAAACACTATTAATATTGATAATATTAACTGATGATGATGATGCAATATCAACCATGTGCAGAAGTTTAAAGTGCAAAGAGACATCATCAAATAAATAAGCATTTTTAAGCTAACTAAAGCCAACTCTGATTACTATAAGCAAAGTCTTATAAGTGTAGTTTGTATTATATATATAAGCATAAATTTTATGTTTTAATGCTTGCTAATGCTCTAATGCTCTAAGCTTGATAGCATTAGCCAACTGTTAACAATAGCCATGATTACAACAAACACAAAAGCAAAATATAATAAGCAAAAACTATGTAAAATAACATAATTTTGACAAGTGTGTTTTTTTTTTGTAAAATAATCAACAAAAACTCTCAAGTTATTATATTAAAATTAGAGAATTTAACTGTTTTAAGATTCAAATTTTAGAAATTCTATTTATTAGTATAATAAACAGAATTATATAGATTATTATACTAATAAACAGAATTTCTAAAATTTGAATCTTAATATATATATATATATAAAAATGGACGTGTGTGTCCCTATATTTCACTTTTCAGCCAAAACTACACATCGCACATGAATGGTGTTTGTATGTGGTAGTAGCCCCAAGTCTCCATTCGTGCACTATGGTGGTTGCATCTCGATAGCTATAAGGGTGCGGGAGATATGGGGGCTTAAAGTGGTTGACTTCGAAGATTTTATATTTCGATTTTAAAATGTTTGAACTGTTTTAAATTCGAATTTGAATTGGTTCGATTATAAAACGATTGTAAACGTTCCAGAAAATTGATCAAATTGAAAATAGTTCGTTTGACTGGACGTAAAAATTCTCTAATTAGTCTGGAAACAGGGGACCTAATTCTTGCATTCTGTGCTATAAGGGTGTGGGAGATAAGGGGTTGAAAGTGATTGACTTCAAAGATGTGTAACAATGGAAGTGTCAACAATAGAAGTGTCAACAGTAGAAGTGTTAATAGTGGAAGTGTTAACAATGGAAGTGTTGAGTAACAATGGAAGTGTGAATATAAAGCGGCATACAAGATTTACAGGCGGTTTTTTGCATTTTTGCAGGAAATCGAACATATTTTTAGACTCATGTAAAAATTCTCTAATTAGTCTGGAAACAGGGGACCTAATTCTTGCATTCTGTGAAAACGAGTAAAATTGGCTATAATGTAATTCTCTTAATATTCACTATCGTTACTTTTTGCCCAGCAAAGCGGGTCTTTGCAGCTAGATTCTATATTACTTAGAAAAACATCTTTTATATACAAAAAAACTATATTACATACAAATAAAAACCCAGCAAAGCGGGTCCTTGCAGCTAGTATATTATAATGATCAATCATACAGCTAGAAATTTATTTATTTTTATGCAATAATTTAATTTTCTTAATAGATAACTTCAAATAAAAAGATAGGAAGTAATGTTTTATTTTTTCTTATTTACAAATTGAATTAAATTTTAAGTAAAAAATAAAATATTTTTAATGTTATAAAATAATTTGAGAGAGTTAGTTAAAAAAAAACTAATAAATTTATTATTTTGTTAAGTATAGAGTAAAATATTCACCTTAACAAGCCAATAAGGATTATTTTTTAATAATAATAAAGAATCGAGAATTTTAAGTCCTAAATATCCATAAACTGATTCAAGAATTATGGGTAGGCAATGTTTGACAGCTGTGAGCCCCAATTTGCTGGCAACAGCAGACTTGTCTTCAATAACATCTAGTAATTTCTCTATTAATTCTTCTAAACTTGGAATTGCTGTAATCAAAGTCATAAATATTCATTTTCATCTTTATAAAAATAAGAAAATCAATTTACTTTACCTGTTAAATCATTAAATTCATTTATCCATTTGTCCCAAGAGCCACCAACTTTTTTCAGAGAAAATTTTATAAAAATTCCAAGAAGTAAAGCAGTGTGTCCTTTTAGATGAGGGTCAGAATGACTACTATATTTTAATATTTCCCATATTTTCTGGCAATCTGCTAAAATTAGAAAATTTTTTGTTAAAATTTAAATGAAATAAAGTGATTGAATAAAAAAATTATTCAATTATGTTAATTTTTAAATAAATAAATTTAATGATTAATAAGTATATTTCTCTGACAGCAAAATCAAATAGTTTTTAACTATTTATTAGATTTCGCTTTATCTATTCATTTTTCAAAATTACACAATTCATTTACCACATAAACTGAGTCAATGTGTGATGGACACCTAGGTCCTCCACCATCTTGTAAAGCTAACTTTAAATACATGCTAAAAATGTTATCTATTCAGTATCCTAACATAATAGATAGATAGAACATAAAGATATTCTTTCTTCTGGAATAGAATGCAGTTTAGAAAAATTTGGACAGCCTGAAAACCACCTGGCACGCACACACACACACACATCCCACCAGTAGTCCATAAATCATACTTTGAGAATCACTGATCTGTAATATTGATATTAATAATGTGTTAGGATAAATTTATTCAATATTTTTAGTGCAGTCATTACAAGCTTCAAAACATTTCTCCAATGCTTTCTCCAATTCAGAAATTTCAGGGATTGAATTGTAAAATTTTCTTTCATTCATCCTGTATGAGTTTTATTGACTCAGTATTTTTCTTTCTGAAGTTTTTTTTTTTCAGTTTTGGGTAAAGAAAATCATTAGGAACTAGATCAAGAAATATAGTTAAATTAGTTGAGGAAGAATAGCAATTCCATGTTTTACCAGATAAATAATGATTGTAATGACTATATGTGGCCTGATGTTGTCATAATCCAATTTTTCTATACTATTTTTCAGGTTGTTTCAAGTAAAATGCTTTGCATAACTGTCATAAATACATTAGCCCCTTGTAATATCTCACATATTGAGAAACAAACTAAATGATGGATAAATACACCAATTATACCATACCATGTGATATACAGTAGAGCGTCGTTTATCTGAATCAATTGGGGACTGGGGTTATTCAGATAACTTATTTTTTGGATAACAGATTATGTACAAACAAATATAACCTATCCTGTGTTGAAATTTTTCTCCGTTGCGTGTTGCTTCACGTTGAATTTTCATCGATGTTAAGCCTAACAAACTTTTTAAAATAATAATCGTGGCTATTGTATTGTTAAAAATTATTTCTTTATTTTGTACAAACAAAATATATATATTGAAAAATATAAAAACCAAAAAATATATACTTTAGAAGTTGATCTAGTATCAAAAACGTTCAATTCAGTACCCCACACAGTCCTCAGAAAAACACCACACAAAAGTGCCAGTGCTGCCAGCTAAAACACACACACCAACAAAAAAAATATTGGAGTAGCCCAAGATATAGCCAAAGATTGCAGCACCACAGCACTAGCGAAAATTTAAATTTGGCGACTGGAATTCTTTCGGATAACCAACTTTTGAATAAACGACGCTCTACTGTATCATCATTTCATTTATTAGATGATGATATATCAGATAGTGGGACATAACTGATATTTATCCATGTTTTGATCTCCATGTAGGCTTGCTTTAAGTGATTGTATTTAATACAATGATACTTTCAAGATAATATTTCTTTGATAGTAGAAATTTAATGGCAACTGATTTTTCTTAAAAATTATTGACTAAAGCTCTTTTATATTTGGAAGACAAAAAAGTGTTAATGAACAATATAAGAAGGGACTACCTATGTGTGTGTATATATATAATCTTCTCAACTTTTTCTATTTCACATTTTTATTTTTTTATTAATTTTATCTTCCTTCTTTATTTATGGCATATAAAATGTTGTTCGTTAGGTGTATTAATTTCATATTACTTTCATACATTCATAGTTTTCTTGACAGTTTTTAATATATTTTTTTCTATTCACTTGCTATTTCTTTAAACAAGATTTTCATGTGATTATATCTATTTTATGTATCCATGTTTGTGTAATTTTTGATTTTTAAATCTAAATATTAAATAAACTATTAATAACTGTCTGTTTCCTAATTATCTTTTTATGTTTTGAAGTGCTCTTTTTTGCAAAATACAACACTGTAATATGGTCACTAACAATTACTAGAATACTTCTTGAGTTATTTAATTTGACTTTAAAACTTTTTTCCATCACAATATAGTCTATTATATTCTTATATCTCCTAGCATTTTCCATAAATATCTTATCCTCTTGCATTCTATGAAAATTCTGTTAGCAATAACTAAATCATGATATTCTTAATCTGTATCACCTTACAGTTTTTCATAAACAATTACTTTCCAATCATCCATTAAATTATCATATCCTTTTAACACTCATGGCATTTCTTCTGTTTAAATAAACAGGATGTTTGTAAATGATTGAGTACATTTCGTTAATGAATTATAAATAAATCAAACAACTTAGGAAGAAGTACTAGATATCAAATCATACAGCAACTAAAACAGTTTTTTTTATCAAAAATTACTCCTCTTTATAAGACGAGTAATTTTTGACAAGTATTTTTGATTAATGAAATGCACTCAATCATTTACAGTCATCATATTCAATATTCTTGCAATATTGCTGGTATTAAATTACACGGCACTTGCAGTAATATTTTGTAATGTTTATATTACATCAAAAAATATAAAGAAAAATATATTTTACCATGTAGATATTATTTTGATACATAAATACATTTTTATATTTTACATGCATTTCATATATATTTAGTAAGTGAAAATATCTTGTCATACAGCAAAATATAAAAATGTTACAATAAACTAAGATATAAGTTGAAAAATTCCAAGAAGTAAAGCAGTGTGTCCTTTTAGATGAGGGTCAGAATGACTACTATATTTTAATATTTCCCATATTTTCTGGCAATCTGCTAAAATNAATTTACTGTAAAATTTTAATTGAACATGTCAAATTATCTCTGATAATTTTATTTTAATATTACACAAATGAAGTTAATGTGTTGGCCTACTAATATTTAAAAATTGATAGACATTATTATAAACCTACTACACTAACAATATTGCATCAAAATTGTTTTAGCTTATATAAATATAAAAAGTTAATTAAATTTCTATTTTAGAAAATTATAAAAATCATATTGAAGTAAAACATTCTTTGGAAAGATTCAAAAAGAACTATAACAAAGCATCTTTTTCTCAAATAAAAAAAAATAAAAATGTTTTCAAAATTTTTCAATTGACAAAGATGAAGATGATTATGAAGATACTAACAATAACAATAAATAATAATTGTATTAGTATATAGAAAAATGTTAAAAGAAACACAAAGAATTGGAGAGAATAATAAAAGCTCAAAAAATATTTTCTAAAACATCATACCTAAACATATATTAATATATACACCACTGAACTAAAAACTGTTTTAAGTTATGCAGTTCAATTATATTAAAAAAAAACAAAACATCTAATAAGTAGATACATAAAATGAATATAATCTTTTGTTTTACTTGAAAACTTTTTGCACCTAAAAAATATATTTTGGATTATTTTTCAATTCATTACATACATGCACGCGCACACCTTTATATATATAAAATGATAAACTACTTTAGACAGTTTTATGGAGTTTTAAGATAACTATTCATTAATAGTTTATACTGTTTTATAGTTTTTGAATTAATGTTGGTATTATAAGCTACAAAGTAAAATTATTATTATAGTAAAAACACATTTAGAAAATTCATAAAAGTAAATTATATTCTTATTACAAAAATTACAGAAATCAATTTTAAATAACTAACACAAATTCAATAATAAATAATAATAATAATAAAAACTTTTACTTACTCATACTAGGAATATCTTCAAAAGTATGAAGTGGAAGAAAAAATGATTCTGGATAGAGTGCTAAAATGCTACTCATACAACTTAGTGCTAATGCTTTAATACTGACTCTAACTTTCTGATCTGGAATTAATCCATCAGGTGATCCAGTTAATAAAAATGTGGAACATAATAATCTGCTGCAATATTTTAATGGAACTTCATTATCTGTAAAGTTTCCTATATTTTCTACCTAAATTTTCATAATATTAATATATTAAAAAAATATTTTTTTAAATATTTTTAATAATTATATTAACAGTATTAAAAATTCTATTTCTTTTTACACTATAATTACCATATTGGCCCAAATACAAGCTATCTTTCACTGTTAATTTTATTTTACATACAAAAAATTATCAATTTGCATTAAAAAAGTTTGGAATGACATTGAAACAATACTTCATCACTGTCATTTTCATCAGAATTTTAATTGTCATCATTCCTGTTTCCTATTTCATTGATACTGTGGTCTTTAGCCACTTTGAACACTAAATCATCCACTGTTCTGTTGAAGTTGTTGCTAACACATTAAATAAAGCCCCTTATACTTATGTCTTTGCCAACAATCTTTCATAATTCTACTACTGTTCTCACAAAAGTAGGTGAAATTTTTATTACTTTTTATTTAGGCAATTGATTATTAAAATTAGTCACATTCAATTAAATTTCTTTTCAAATATTCAAATAGAAATAATAGAAATTATTCAAATAGAAATAAAATATTTTTTCAAATTTACATTTAAATATCTAGAAAGTAATCAGCATAAATGATTTTTTATTGCTTTCATCACAATTTTTACAAATTGCATTTAAATTGTATCTTGTTGATCAGAAAATTGTACTCAAAGAATTTGTTTTATAGGAAGAAAAATAAGCATCAGATGCCTGTATGAGACAAATTGTAACTTATTACAGTAGAGCATCAATTATCCGAAACAATTCCGGACTGGGGTTGTTCGGATAATCGATTTTTTGAACAACCAATTATGTATGAAAAAATATATTAACCTATCCCCAGGATTTGAAATTCATTCAAATCCTGGCACATCCTTAAGTACCATGTCATGGTCACGACAGTGCTGCCAACTAAAACATGTACACCAATAAAAATAATATTGGAGTAGCCCAAGACATAGCCAAATATTGCAGCACCATGGCACTAGCAGAAATTTAAATTTGCCAACTGGAATGCTTTCAGTTAACTGACGTTTCAGTTGATCAATATTTGGATAATCAATGTTCTACTGTATTTCCTTTTTGACAATATCAATAAAAACAAAATTAATAAAAGTTATACAGCAAAATTGAGACATTGTTTTAGGCAGTAGGTAGTAGGCTGCCCAACATATACATCATACCAGAGGAAATAGGCTTACTTGCAAATTTCACAAGTATTCAAGAAACTATACTTATAGTTTTATGCCTAGCGAAAATGAAACCAAATTGCTAATTTTTTTAATGTCTAAAATACTTTTTATAAAGTCTGAAACATATAATCATATTGAATACATAATTTTATGATTACAATAGAAATTACAATTTAGAAGAAAATAAATTTTGCAGTAAATTTTCAGCAACCTCCAACCAAGTTTTGATGGTCACTCAATTATTAGACTCTCCTAGGAGTAAAATAAAAATTTTTCAAAGTAAAATTTCCATAGAATGACTGACTCTTTTGAAAACAATACAATAGCTGATTATTTACAATCATGCCAAAAAATTCCTACACATAGTTTACAAGCTATGAGCATGACAGGTCACAACTTGGCTGGTGTTTCGCATTGCTAAACAATTGATGTACTGAATCTTAGTATTAGTTTAACTCTGTACAATGTGTATCACACACAGTTATCAAAATTGAAGAAAACTTTAATAGGATTTGAATATAGGTAGAGAGCAATTTTTTGATGCTTTAAAATTGGGAATAACATTGACTAATATTTGAGCCAATATAACATTGTTATTTTAAAATGTATATCTTATATAAAAACATCAATTTTATTATTTGTTGATTAGATATAAGAATTTTCAAATATAAAGAAAATTTTAAATATAATGAGATTATTAATAATTATATTTTGTACAGCTATCTTTTGTTTTCATAAAATCAATGAAATTTTTAAATTATTAAATTATAATTGAAAATTTGTAATCAGCACTTAATTCTCTTCAAGCTCTTTTGATTTATCTGTAAGACAGCAAACACAGTAAGATTTTTATAGTTATCTTAATTATATACATTAATATTTTAATTGATTAATTCTGTTTGTATAGTATGTTTTTTAATTAATTAAGTGATCCAGTAATAAACAACCTTTAAAAACTTAATTAATTAATTAAAATTTGTTCAACTTATTTATGTTTTTGAGACCTCAGATATTGCATTCAAATTTCTCTTTGAACAAGGATTAAAAAACATATTCCTTAGAATGACCAGTTCATTTTTATACATAATTAAATGATTCGAAAATCTAATTTTAAAACATCTATCTGCATTTGCTGGATAAAAATCTATCTTTTTTAAATGGAAATTATAACAATTATTAAATATTTATACATTCCTTACTTAAATATTCTTTTAATACAATAGACTCACTTTATAATGTAACTTGTCAAAAATGAATGTTATATCAAATTTTCTAAATATTTTCTGATGACAGGAAAATGCTAATGATATCATACAATTTCTCTCTGAAGATTTAAAACTATCTTTTAAAATTATATTATTTGAAGTAATCCAAAAAAAATTAATAAAAAAAAAGCAGAGAAAAATATCATTATCTAAATTTGTTTTTAATAATTAAATGACAGTTAAATTAGAAAAAGATAAAAGCAAACAAACAAAGAACAGTTAAGCTGAATGTCCATACATATGATTTCAGCATGCAACTTAAATACTTTCTGCATGTGTGGTTAGAAAACTGAACAACTAAATTGTACAGTTAGGCACAAATTAGGTGCTCAAGCTAGACATATTGGTTCTGGATAGATGTTTGAGCTGAATATGGATGTTAATTAAGTGAATCAGACACAGCTAATTAGCAATAAATCAGTGGTTCGACATTTTCTACAAAATGGCTTGGTGGATAAATACATCACTCAGAAATTAATAGAAGAATTTGGAAAGTATAAAGATGAAAAATAATAAAAGTAATAATAAATAGACTTTTTTTTGTTTTTCTTTTTTTCTACAAAAATGGTTAAAAATTTTACATATCTAATTTTAAAAAGTTTATAAAAATTAGAATTGATTAATGAGTATTAACCTATAAATGTGTTCTAAGATAATCATGTCATTGTCATCCATCTTTGATTTACTTTCCTTTCCACCTGTTGTGAATCATATAGTGCAGCGATTCCCAACCCAGGGTACATGATAGGTTGTTTAGGAGTACAGAAAAAAGTTAATTATTATGGCAGAAAAAATAATATATTATGTATTACAAATTAATAGTATTAAAAAATTATTAGGTAAAAATTATTCCTTGCAACAATCACAAACTTTATTATACATTTCAAAATGCAAAAATAGAAATAAAAACTTATGCTGCCGATTGTACAACGCAACAGATCAATAAATGCTGCGCAGTTGGTCAATGGTAGTGAGGATACTATTATGTGTGATTAGTGATTATGCTACAGACTTTTGATGGTGGGGTGTGTTACCGTTATTATTATTATCTCTCAACAATATCCCCACGTGTTGTTTGAAAAAAGTACTCTTTTGTTTATAAAAAGTATTTTTTATTGTTAGCAAGAAAAGGACAGAGCCAGTTTCTGCAGATTTTCTCTACAAGCAGTAATTTTTTTCATTAGTTATTCAGTATTTTTATTAATTTTTTATTGACAAGACTGTCTTGTTTATAAAATCGTACTGCCTGCTGTGTTACCTACCATCTTAGAGGTATGAAGGAGTACATGTCAAAAGCTGCAATTTGGCACAAAGTATTAGGTGTCCAAATCATGCGCACATAAAAAATCCAGACTTGTAGGTACTCAAGGGACCGAGAACCAAGTCAAAAAAATTCAAAATGGTGACACTCTACAAACAGGCAGTGCGAGATTTGCACATGCGTTGCTCATTGGGAAGTTGGAAATGCCACTGGGATATGCTAATGAAAAAAGGTTGGGAACCGTTGATATAGTAGATCAACTGTGAGAATTGTGCAAAAGTTACATAACTATATGCTAGCTTGGTGCAGAAAAAATGTTCATGTGCAGCTTTACTAGAATCTATGGATACACTTGCTTTTTATTATTATAAGAATTATCATTGTGCCTTAGAAGAAACTGTAACCTTTTCATACTTGTGTATTGTAACTTTTACATTTAATTCATTATCAAAATTGTATTTAATTATACAGTATTTTTATTTCTAATAAAATGCATAATACATGTAATTTTAACATTAAAAGGTTTTAAAATGTTAATGCATTTTTTCATCTAAAAAGATGGTTTGTTTTTATTTCCACATTTGTAGATTGAATGTTCAAAAGGCTGCTATAACAAAATTCTGACCATATACAGACTTGTAATATTAATAATATTAATAAAAATAAATAGCATCAGCTATTGATCAGCTTATCTATTGGTCATTATTATTGTGATGAATCTACTGTATTAATAAAGTAAAAAAATCAAATTATTCTGTTCATTAAATAAAAAACAAAAAATAATCAAAAATTACTAATACCATTTTTAATATTTATGTTTACAAAAAAATGCCTTGATAAAACAGAACTAACTTTAAAATCTTCCTTTGTTCCAGGAGATGAAGATAGTGAGGTAAATTCCCATTGACCATTTTTTTCAAAATCTTCATCTAATAATTTCTCATCACTTAAACCTTTTCTCAGTTTAAACGTGCTTTTGACACTAATGCTCTGTTCTGAAAAACAAAAAGAGTTATATTATTATAATTTCAGCAGTTAAATTTTAAAAAGGTATATTAATATTCTGTAAATGACTTACTTCTAAATAAAATAACTAAATTTCTATAGTACATATGTTATCTTTATTTACAACCAGTAAAATAAAATGGGTAAAAATTTTACATATCTAAATTAACTAATTTTAAAAACTTTATAAAAATTATAATTCAAATAATGAGTATTAACCAATAAAACAAAGAAATATATTTTTCTTGCTGTAATTAAAAAATTTAATCATTTTCAATACTTTAAGCTTAAATGAGGAATCCTTATTTTATTTATTTGTTGATTATCAAACTATAATTCTTTATTTACTATTATTTAGAAACTTGCTATTTAAATAGAAAGATATAATACTAATAATATACACACAAGTGAGCATTTTATATCTTACTATGTAAAGTTACTGGTGAAGATCCTTCACTGTAACTTCCAACAGTTACATTAGAATATTCTGATCCATCTTCTGCTTCATCTTCAGGTGAAAGGCAACTTTCTTCATTTATGTAATTTTGTGAAGGATTATCAGCAAATACTTGATCCTCTAAATTGCATGTTCCTAAGCATTAAAAAATAAATAATTTTAATCATATTGATTAATATCACGACCATCAATAGCTTGTAGGGAACCTGGGGGTAGAGTGGACCCTTTTTGTATTTGAAAAATGTAATACATAGAATGTTTCTTTATTAATAAAAATCAGTCTTAAAGATTTTATTTTCTATTCATAAAAATAACATTAATTTGATAGGGGTAAGAATCACTAAGGGCTTCCTTTTCTCTAGGCCCAGGAAAAAATTTTCAACTATTTCCCTTCCTTTCAATCACACTGATTAATACATTTACAGTTAATTGAAATTAAACTTACTATTAATATATATATATATATTCTAATACAGTTAATATTTCTTACATTTAAAATTTCTAAAAAGAAATCTTTGTTAATATCATCATATATATGATTAAATTAATTTATATTTTCTCAGTTTTAATAGTTTCAATCTCTTACAGTATAGTGTGTATTTCATTTTTATACATTAATTTTGTTATTGAAAATATAGGAATGTTAAGTCATCTTAATTCATATATTACAGATTTAAATTTTAATACTACCTTTTTCTATTTGTAAATTTGTTAATTCAGTTTCATCTTCTAATGCAGCTTCATCCTCAACTGTACTTTCTGGAATCATACCTCCTTGACCTTTATATTAATAAAATTTTATATATATACATTAAGCATTTTACAAATAAAATATTTTACCTGATAAGTTTGAATACTTACTTGCACACCGTGATTTTAAGTCAGGATCAATGGTATAAATTTGCGACTTTGATATTCCTACAGGGTCTAGCAATAAAGGAATTAATTGTTTTGGTGGTGAATGTAAAAGTTGATGGAGTGCTTCTAATGTTGCTGTAATCACATTGTGATCATTATGATGTGTATAAAATAATAATAATTCATAAACCTAATTAATAAAAACATAATATTCATAAGTGTGAGATAAAATAGATTCAAAAATTTTTATTTAATAATGTACAAACTTGAAGAAGCTGATCAACACTTATTCCAATATTTTCCTCTTTTTGTCTCACACCAATACTTCCTTTCAAGACAATTTGTCTTTCTTGATCACTTAAATGAGGTATTAGATGACGTAGGCACAGAAGTACACCAAGAATAATATGTACAGGTTTCTCTTCTTGAACAGGAATTACATATTCTATTTCAAAAATGAAAACATATACATTAAGTAAGCAAAATCAATAATTAGTTTAAAGAACATTAATACAAACTTTGTAAATTTCATCTAATAAAACTTTGAATTAAACAGATTGATAGATTACAGTGAATGGAGTTAGTGTAACTTTTATATATGAATTTTTTTAGATCATATAATCTTTCATTATCCAAATATTATCATATTCACTATTCTATCATATTAACATAAAGTATTTTTCCAACCCGTTAACTTTATTTTTTTAAACTTTGATTTCATAAATCTAGTCAGTCATTAACTGATATTTTTTTTGTTTAAACAAATAAATCTGTCAATTTCTGTAACCTTCAGTAAACTTTTTAAATATGGAAATTTATACTCCAAGTATATTCTGTTTCTATAAAAAAAATGATCAAAGTTGTTTTGATTATAAAAGTAGGAAAGTTCTTTAAAGAACTGTTTTAATTTTAGCATTACAATTTTGAGAATGTTGATGATAAAATTTAATACTTATTATTACTATTAATATTACATAATTCCATTTCATTTTTTATATATGAATTTAAATGTTTCAATTCATTTCTTTATTAACTAATGTTTTATTTATCACTTCATTGTCATTTTGAATTGTTCCATTAAAATTTTATTTTAATTTACTTCATTAAGTAAATAAACTTAAAATCTTACTTATTATAAAAAATAAATTGCAATCATATAAAAGTATTTACCTAGTAATGAAGACAATAACCATACAAAAAATGTAGTTGGTTTACGTGAATGTTGGCATATATGAATTAAAATGGATGCTGCTGTTCTTCTTATTGCAGCAGATTCAGAAACCAAATTGGGAAGAAAAGCTTTTAACAATAGCTGTTATAATAAATAATTAAAAATTAATTATTGCTTAAACATAATTTACTTAAAAATCATAATTATCATTACAATCATCATGAAAGCATTTAGTAATATTAAAATAAACATTTACAAATTAAATAAAGCTCAGAAAAACAATGACATAATAAAATGTAAAAAACTAATCCAATACAAACTAAGTAATTTATTTTATAGTTTTCAAATATTTATATATATCAAGTTATACATACATACAGAGAAAAAGCACAAAAATAACACTAGAACTATTTTAAACCAAACAAACTTTCTTTATAATTAATATAAGTAATTAAAATAGATTTATTATTTGTATATTCATTGTTGTTGTAATTGATTTATTCCATTACAAGGGATGATCATTTGATTCATGGAATAATGCTAGATTTGTCCCTATTGTCATCATCTAAATCTTCAGATTTGCCATGCTCGAAACGATTTCCTTTGATCTATACATACATCTGTCATGTATCATATGTTTTCTGGAATCCATTTTTAGATAGATGTTGAAAAATTGAAGTTGTGGTTATGTATATCTTCTGATCAGATACAAAGCATTTATATTTTAAAACTTTCCACAAGAACAAAAACAAAGAAATCAATTGAGCTATACAAGTGATTTCTTTGGACTTCAAAAACAAGTTGGTTAAAATCATTAATAATTACAGAGAATAAAGTTAACAATTAATTAGAATATTCAAATTCCTTGAGAAGTCAGATCACAGAATAAGTTGATCTCTATATTACTGTAACATGATTAGAATTTCTGATAGCAGAGAGAGACACTAGGTCTTCATTCTTGAACTGTTCACAACAGCGACCAATTCAAGAATGATGATCTAAGGTCTCTCTCTCTCTCTCTCTCTATTCAAACTCATAAGAATTACATACAAGAAGTATTCAAATATCTGGCTCTCAATCATGCATTCAAATACTTCCATCTTTTGTTTGAATCACATTGGATTAGTTTAAATTAAACCTAGTAATGAGCTATTTCTTACATATTGTATGTAATAAAAGTAATTTTATTATAAAAATAAACATAACTGTATGACATTTATATAATATAGTTTAAAAGTATAGTATACTTTGGTTTACACAGGTTTGATTGTATATTAATTGAGGATGAGAAAGCCAAATGTAAATAAAGTGGGTATAATGCGGGTAATACATTCAGTGTTATAGGAAATCAGATTATCGAGACATGCATTATCAGACAATTTTGTGCAAGTTTAAACCTAGGCCTAGAAATTGAAGAAGAAAGCATATACCTCTGAAAGACAAAATCAGAATTTTGTATGAGTACTAGTTGCAATTTTTCATCATGATATACAAATTTGCATTACAGGGGAGTGCATTATACCAGAGTTCACTGTATAACCACACAGTTCATTTTCATTGAATTTTTCAGATCTTATCTTGCTCACTAATAAATAGCTGATAATCAAAAATCTAATGGCAAAGTCAAATTATTATCATATATATATATATATATATATATATATATAGAATAATGTTTATTTAGTCACACATTCTTCTTAAAAAGAATAATGATAATTTCCTATTATGAGTATTATAGAAATTGTCTTAATTTTATAAAGCATCAAAGAGGGATTTTTTTTTCTTATTTCACTAGAAAACTTTATAAAAATAAATATAAACAGAGAAAGAAGAAAAATATAAAAAGTATTATGAGACTCGGCAGTGTTTATTAACCTACAGTCTGACCTAAATCGTTAACAATACTATTTTATCGAGTAAGTATCAAATTTCACACCTGGGAGTTAGTCACTCAGCAAGTTCTCAGTCGCAAAAAGACACTTTCACATAACCTTCCAACCTATTATTGCAAAGTTGTCAAATGAATATAGCTACAAACAGATTTTCCTCAGTCGCAGCCATTCCTCTAACAGAAGTCATCATCTCCGTGCCTCCTATTTGGATTAACTTCAACCAGACTTATTATGTACCTCCTATTTGGATTAACTTCATCGCCTACCGTACTTTTTAAGTGCCTAATATAACGTCGGACTAACAATAACTTAGACTAACGTCATTGCCAGAACCAGAACCAGAACTTGGATTATTAACCTCAAGACCCTTATTATCAACTATTCAAGAATCAACCAACTCCAGGTATTTATTGCCATGCAAACTATTGTAAGCTCTCTCTCGAGAACGGTCATTTAAACCTTACAATCAAACTATTGACATATTGTAAGATATGTATTTCCTAGCGTTACCTATTAAATGGTTGTTATGTTAATCTAGTCTCTGAAAGAATCACTTCCGGTGTGCTGTTTCTCACTCCCTCCATCCAGAATCTGATCACTCCATTATGCGACCACTCGCGTGACCTAGTTAGGTTTCTGTGTCAACTGAGACGCGGTGGTGTCATCCTGACAAGGCATCGAGGAGATGCCGACCCTCTAGTCACAGTATAATAATATGTTTGGACAATAAAATGATGAAAATGCTTGAACAAGGGAATAGAAATCAATATGAATGTTTTTCTACAAGTGGTTCAAATCTCATGTAGTTTATTGTGAATCTATTCATACTAGTTTTGCTAAACATTCATTAGCCATTTTTTAATGATTGATTTTAAAATTATTATATTCAAGTAGTATTAAATGCACAGGAGAAATCAGGCCTGATTTGAAAGCTATGTCAACTGATTCATTCCCTATAATACTAAATGTATTATGGGATCCAACAAAATTTTATAAAGAAATTCATTGTTACAGAAAAATGACAAATAAATTTATAAATTTTTGCTAGAACAAACTGCTAATTGGATTTATATAAGAATAAAGTCTGAGTGAGAACATTTTTATGAATCAAGTGAAATTATACAATGACAATGAATTTTTTCATAAAGGATTGTGAAGCTAAATAAATAGTATGGATCTCACATAGAACAATAAAGCATAGAGTAATAAAAATGAAAGCTGATGTTGATATCTGATCTGCTACAATTTCACTAAAGATCATGGCAAATCTAATATAATTCTTATATTTTCATCTATCTTACAGATAAAAATGTAGTCAATGTATTTCTACACTAACAGTTGATTAGTCAACTGTTTGTAGAAATGCAGTCTAGATACTAACATTAAAACATTGATCATTTATAAAATGAAATCTTACAAAATATTAACTTAATTTCATAACCGTAATTATTAATTTATTAATAAGATAATTTCCATATATACAGACAATCAAATTGATTTGAACACTAGAATTGAAACATATTGGAATATAAATATTTATTACATTAATTTCATTTTTTGTTAAACTGAAAATTTTTATAATTAAAGAGTATTTTTTAAAATTCTGGCACTTTAATTTGCATTTCTCTACTTATAAGCACACTATCCTATGTCAAGACTGAGACATCCCATTCAGAAATAACTGACAATTTTCATTGGCAAACATACAATAAATGCAATTCAGATTTTTAATTTAAATAAATTCGCTTATTATTATTATTAAAATTGTAGCAACAGTTCTCTTAAACTCCATATTGAATCCTCCCAATTTCCAATCTAACTCTATCAAACTTATCAATAAAATATAGACATTTGAGAAACAATTTAAAATCTTTTAGTTTGAATAAAATACACTTAGTCTAATTTAAAAGTATAGCCTAATTATGGTTTTACTACTCAAAAAATAACCTCACTTACATCTCCATAAGCAATTTATGAATTTTTTGTTGAAGATCTTAAACTGTATCACAAAAAAAAAATTATAATTTCTGTGATAATTTTTCAATTAATAGACTTTTCTATAAAAGAATGAAAGAGAAAAAAGTGCATCAGAGACTTTATACAGTACGATACATTAAGGAATATTATATATTTTTTTCTTTTTTATTAAAAAGAAAAAAATATATAATATTTTAAATACAGGGTGTCGCAATGAAAACGAAACGGCAGAGATATCACGTTCGTCCAAGCAAATCGCTCGGACAGGTCGATTTTATTCTCAAGGGGGACATATTCTGCAATGAAGTTTTTGCGATTCTGAATACAACAGACAACAAAATTTTTAAAAACTTATTCATTTTTTATTAACTAAACAAACATTTATTTCAAATAAAGTAAGAAACATAAGAAAAAGTTATCAAGTATTCAATAAATGTTCGAATTGAGCACCACTAACCTCCATACAATAATACAAATTTTAAGATGAGCGTTGAGTCTTCAGATGTTGTCCGAGTAGCGTTCCTATGGCGACCAACATCGTCTGTCGAACGACTAAAAGCGCGGGAAAACGAGTGTGCCAGACGATTTTTATCCCGACAAAACAAATAATAATCTTAAATTCGAATTGAATCACTATGTGGTCAAGCTTAATGTGAACACTACAAAATACTGTATTATAACATTTGGAAACAGATAACACATTATCAACCTTAATTTTATGATCAACTTATTTTTCCTTGCATATGCGGTCTAGCTTAAAAGGTTTTTTTATGTTTTTTAATAGTTTGTGTTACTTTATTTGAAATAAATGTTTGTTTAGTTAATAAAAAATGAATAAGTTTTTAAAAATTTTGTTGTCTGTTGTATTCAGAATCGCAAAAACTTCATTGCAGAAAATGTCCCCCTTGAGAATAAAATCGACCTGTCCGAGCGATTTGCTTGGACGAACGCGATATCTCTGCCGTTTCGTTTTTGTTGGGACACCCTGTATATAATATTAAAAAGAAAAAATATATAATATTTGGAATAAAAATGAACTTTAAAGAACTATCATTTTGGGCTTGTTTCATTTTCCTTCATGGACAAATTCTCTTTGATTAATATCATAAGTAATAGGAACAGCCTAATCACTGTTCTTATTGCAAAATTTAATTATTTTTCTACATTTTAAATTGCTTTAATTTGATTGAATCAAATTAATTTTAAAATTATTAGTAATACATCTTAAAATTTGGTTTCATAATTATTATATTTCAATACCTTAATCTCTAAATCATTTGTAAACTTCCCTAAAACTGGCATAATCTTTCCTATTGCCACAGCTAAGGTCTCTTGCACAGCTTCTTCCTCTATACGTTGGGAGATCTTTATTAAACATGGAAGTAAATTCATCGTATACGGCCTACAAAATATTAAAAAATTATAACAAGTTTGAATACTTAAAATAAGGAAATATGTTATTTGAGTATGTTTAGAATAGATAACTTATATAAGTACAAAAGACCTGAAAAAATTCTATTTTAAATTTTTAATATGAAACAAAATTTCAAAATTCCACTTATCAAAACTCAATAAATAACAATAATTTTTTCAAAAGATGTTCAAAAAGATTACTACAGTTGAAGTTAAACATTTTAGTCACTTGTTCTTATTTTCAAGTTAAATATTTTCTTTATTCTGTACAGTTCTAATAAATTATATAATGTAACTATTACATAATTTTGATTAACATTTGTCAAAAATTTTAACATGGTTTTGATTTTTTTTTTTCAAAAAAAATTTTAATCAATCTTAATTTTAAAATTTGAAATATTTTGCCTATTAGTAACTTAATAACTATTAGCATTGATTATGTATCTAATATTTTCTAACATATTTGAAAATATTCAATTAGTTTTTTCAGGAAAAACTGATTAAATATCTATAGCAGTAATGAGAGATCAACAGCAAATAATAACTTTTGTACTTTTATAAAATGTGGAACACAAAAACCAAATTTCAAAACCTTTTGTTTACATTGTACTCAAATTTTAAATAAAAATTTTAATTTAAAATTTCAAACAACTTGAAACTTGCATATTAACTATTTAAAATAAGTTAATATTATGTTGAGAATTAACTTCAACTTTGCTGTTTCTAAATAAAAGAAAAATAGTATTCTTTTAAATCAGCAAGAAATTGAAAAATGAATACTAAGTAATGCACTGAATTGTTATATGGTTGTTCTCCTGTTCTCCATAAAATTGTTTGAAATTAATTTAAATTTTTAATACAGTGGAACCTCTGTATTCGTAGTATTCGATATTCATCACATTTTGACGACTTTTTACTTTTCCATATTCGTCAGTATTTTCTGTATTCATTATCATTCCCAACACTGGAAGTGTTGGGAATGATGAATTGCACACCTGTGCCGATCAGCTAGCCATGTTAGCTAGCTGTAGTTAATCAGTCTGCTTTGCGCGGTCATTGTGAGTGTTGTTGAGTTATTGAAAAATAATCAATGCAAGAAACCAAGTTCCAATCACTCCAAAGTGGCACCTAAATGTTGCTATCAACCAAAATATAAACACATTCAATGATAATGTAATTGCCTGCGTCAGAAAAGTTTTAAAAAGCAGACGAAAACACACAACACTGGAAAGTTCTTTATTAAATCGAGTGCTACTGAATCATCAGCAAACAGACCCCATGATCACAATTGCCTAATGTTTTAATTGATATGTCTTCTAAATAATAATACTATATTAATAATACTGTTCTTCCCTTCTACCACTATACTGTATTTATTTAGTACAATAAAGATAAAGTTTTACAAACAACATAATTTTTATTCTTGTACCTTTTTTCAGGATGAGAATGGATTAATTGAATATCAGTTATTTATTATGAGAAAAATTGTTTCTAAATTCATCATAGTCCATATTTGTTATGTCCTTAGAACAGATTAATGATGAATATAGAGGTTCCACTGTATATGTACTTTTGATTTGTAATCAGACAAAAATATAAAGTATTCAGAATTCAGGAAAGTCCAACTGTCTATAATTTGTTCTAGAACACTATGTAAAAATGGTGATTGTCAGAAATATATTTTTAGAGCAACTTTGTGATAAAGTATTCATTTATTTTTGTAAGTAATGTTAAAATGACAAAAGAAATTTTAATAAAATTTATTATGAAAGTAAATAATAAGAAGATATCAAAATATTTTTAAAACAAGTAAAATGGCAAAACCATATTTGGGACAAGACTATGTCTCAGAGACGGAATCACTTTGATGCTCAAGGCAGGTCTCATTCTCATTCTCCTATCTTCTTTGATATCGCTGCTTTTGGGCGCAATCGTTCAAACTTCGCTGGCCACGACCACGAGATCGTCCACGATGCATTTTCAATGAAATTAGCCTATCTGATTTCAAAATTTCTCTCCATTGCATGTCGGCCTGGGTTGAATTTTTGTTGATGCATAACGAAAAGTTCCCATTTTTTAAAAAAATAATCGTGGCTATTGTATCATCCGAAATTATTTTTTATTTTGCACAAACAATATACAGTTTAACCTGATTATAATGTTATCAAATGTAATGACAATACTAATACAACGTCAAATTTTTATTGGTCCTACGATTTTACTATACTAGATAATGTTAAAAAAAACCCACTTGTAACGACATAAAACCATTTTAACATCATATTTGAAGCACTCCCAAATTTACAAAATTAGATACAAATTTTATTTAACATAGAAGAAACTACATGTTCAGTCCTAAGGTCAGAGTTCACTTTTTAGAATGACTGTGGGTGGTACTCTCCCTTGTCTGACTTCGGTGGGGTGAGGTGGCTGTTTTGCCTGTTTGTAGAAGAGGGTCGCCATTTTGTATTTATTTTTGACTCAATTCTCAGTCCCCTGACTACCTACGAGTCTGGATTTTTTTATGCGCAAATGATTTGGGCACCTAATACTCTGTGCCAAATATCAACTCTCGACATGTACTCCTTCATACCTCTATGCCAGTAAGAACATCGGGCAGTATGATTTTATAAACAAGACATAGTCTTGTCAATTAATTATTCATAAAAATAAAATACAGTGGAACCTCGGTATACGATCTTAATCCGTTCCTGATGTTTGGACTTATACCAAATAGGACGTATATCGAACCAACCTTTCCTATAAGAAGTAATGTAAAAATGATTAATCCATTCTCATGTAAAAAAAAAAATGGCTGGCTTTAAACACCTCGCTTTCCTGGCTAGTTCCTGCTTGATTTTTCATGAGATCAGCATGTATCTTTTTAGTTTTCTCGCAAATAATTGCTTCTGATACGCTGTCTCCAGCACATTGTTTTTCAGTTATCCAAAGCAAAAGCAATTTCTCAACATGATCTAATGTCTTCGATCTCTGTTTAGAAATTGATTTAACCCCTTTCGCAACGTTAGCAGATTTAATAATGTCTTTATTTTTCATGATTGTCGATATCGTTGTTCTCGGAATATGATATGCAACAGTTAAAATCTTGAACATGCTTGCCACCTTCATATTTCTCAACAATCTCTTATCAATTCCATTGTGATTCTAGTCATTCTTTTAGATTTCTGTTGCTTTTCATTTGCCTTTTTGCAATTCATGATTAATAAAAAATAATAAAATGTTACTTACAAATTAAAATCAGAAGAAATTTAACAAAGTTATAAACCATGGCACTGTAAACGTCTAGTCTGGTCTAGTACACCGATAGTGCTACTTGTTCATAGATGGCACGTATAACTGAATTACGTCGTATACCGAGCAAAATTTGTTTCATCCAAACAGGACGTATTCCAAATTGGATGTATACCAAGGTACCACTGTATTAGAATTTCAAACTAATTTTTATATAAAGATAAATTTTAAACATCCTTTTTTCATTCTGCATTTTACCTGCATTTTTGTGGACGAATGAGATGGCACAAATCAGCAAATCTACTGAGTGCAGCCCTAAGACTTCGGGAAGGACCATCTTTTTTGATTTCTTTGTAAAGTTCTACTTGCAATCTTCCTAGATGCTAGCTGTAGTTAATCAGTCTGCTTTGCGCGGTCATTGTGAGTGTTGTTGAGTTATTGAAAAATAATCAATGCAAGAAACCAAGTTCCAATCACTCCAAAGTGGCACCTAAATGTTGCTATCAACCAAAATATAAACACATTCAATGATAATGTAATTGCCTGCGTCAGAAAAGTTTTAAAAAGCAGACGAAAACACACAACACTGGAAAGTTCTTTATTAAATCGAGTGCTACTGAATCATCAGCAAACAGACCCCATGATCACAATTGCCTAATGTTTTAATTGATATGTCTTCTAAATAATAATACTATATTAATAATACTGTTCTTCCCTTCTACCACTATACTGTATTTATTTAGTACAATAAAGATAAAGTTTTACAAACAACATAATTTTTATTCTTGTACCTTTTTTCAGGATGAGAATGGATTAATTGAATATCAGTTATTTATTATGAGAAAAATTGTTTCTAAATTCATCATAGTCCATATTTGTTATGTCCTTAGAACAGATTAATGATGAATATAGAGGTTCCACTGTATATGTACTTTTGATTTGTAATCAGACAAAAATATAAAGTATTCAGAATTCAGGAAAGTCCAACTGTCTATAATTTGTTCTAGAACACTATGTAAAAATGGTGATTGTCAGAAATATATTTTTAGAGCAACTTTGTGATAAAGTATTCATTTATTTTTGTAAGTAATGTTAAAATGACAAAAGAAATTTTAATAAAATTTATTATGAAAGTAAATAATAAGAAGATATCAAAATATTTTTAAAACAAGTAAAATGGCAAAACCATATTTGGGACAAGACTATGTCTCAGAGACGGAATCACTTTGATGCTCAAGGCAGGTTTCATTCTCATTCTCCTATCTTCTTTGATATCGCTGCTTTTGGGCGCAATCATTCAAACTTCGCTGATGTTCGAATTGAGCACCA